ATATTCATTTTACCATTTTACTGCAGGGAGTAGATTGCAAGAAGAAGGGTTACACTCTTGTAGAAGTACCTTGATATAAAGGTGATAAGTTTGAGAATTGGTAATACTACTGAACCCATTCCATGTTGGATAAACATCTTATACCTAAACATAGCATGACACGAATGACTCACTTGTGATGGCTACTAATTTTTATTTCAGGCATAATATTTTTGTGTTGATAACATATGAAAATATATGTAATAACATTTTTTATACATCAATGCAAAATAATTCACAAATCATGTTATTTAATGTAAACAATACATTGATATAATGATTAATGACATCAAAGATTAAACTGATAAGATAATTTTTTGGTACACAAATAACTATTGATCCGTGCCATAGAAAATAATAATTTACAAAAAATTAGGATAATCAATATGCAATATAAATAATATTTTTTGCCAGCAGTATGCAATACATATAATAAAATATATAATATCCAATGAAAAAGTCTATAATGAATCATGTCACATTATTTGTAAGTTATAAATAAACTTACCATAATATTACAACTCATTATTCTTTAGATCATTATATATATGTGTGTGTCTATATATGTCTATATACATATAAGCAGGATAAAAGACTACACATGTATAGCCGAAAAAACAGATTAAGCCCATAGGCTAGCCTATTTAACCAGCCAATTTTGATAGGTTAAATTGAAGAAATTTGCTCAGCTTTTAAAATGGGTTAAGCTAGCCCCCACAAATTAACGGGTTAAAACAGCTAGCTTATTTTTTAAAAAAATTAATTTATTTTTTCAATTGCAATATATATTCTTATAAATATATAATAATAATAATATTTTTTAAATATATAATTTATGAATTTTAAATATGTTCTTTACATTTGAAAATAATGTAAATCTTTCTTAAAATTTGTAAATAAAATTTTTGTTATAGTTTGTAAGTGGATGATTTATTAGTTTTTATAGAAATATTTTGAATGTATATTATTTATTAATATCATAAGATCTATTGATTGAAATCACAAATATAAATTCGTTGAGAAAAATTATATGGGTTTATATTTAAATTTTTTTCTTAGTGAGAAATATAACACATCTAAGCAAGAAATGATTAATAATAAAAATATAACAATTTTTTTAATATTTTGGCTTCATTTTTGGGTTTATATTCAAATTTTCTTTCTCAATGTGAAAGATAACACACCTAGGTAAGAAGATGATTAATAGTAAAAATTTAGCAAAATTTTTTTAACATTTTGGCTTTATTTTTCTATTTAATTCAGAATCCATAAAAAGCAAATATAAATAATATCAAAATTACATTTAAATTTTTTGTGACGCCAAAAATATTTTTAATTCTGATTCCCTTTCTCTTATCAATTTCATATCCATTTTTATTATTAAAACTTACTTTTAGTGGGACATCCAAGTAAAAAAAGGTTTGAATTTTAAATATTTTTGAAGTACTGTGGCTTTTTAAGAATGCATAATAGACCATTTTAGATTTACATAGGTGTTGAAAAGAATTAAATTTAATGTAATGAGTGAACCCATAGATAAAAAACTATCGGTTTGGCTAAAATAAGTAAATAACGTAAGTTTACTTAAAAGTAGTGAAAAAAATAAAACTTATTATGTGAGATTTGTCTAATAGGATTTAAAGGGGTGATTTAATTTATATATATACATATATATGATATGTTGCTTATAAATTTTAAATCATTTTAAAAAATAAAGTTGTGTTTTGTGGGTTGACCTTCGAGCTTACCGGCCCACCGATGTGCAGGTAAGGTTGGGTTTTTCTAACTTGTTTATCTTGACAGGTTGGCCCACCTCAACCTGTTAAACTCCAACCTATGTGAGTTGGCCCACAACCCATTTGCATAGCTCTATATGAATACTATGTATCCCTTTTTAGGTTTATTGTAATTATATGCTTCAAGATGCCTCTCTTATGATTCTGTGCTTTGAATTCAGGTTTGAAGGGATGATTTATTATTTTTAATGCAAAACATTAATAAGTCTATGGGATTGCACAATAGTACACGTCTTATAAATATAAGAATTGGACAATGTATTGTATATGTTGCCACATGTCCATCTAGTTCCATGTTACTATTTACTATGAAAGGGTGGCAGTCTTTTATTACGTTGCTCTTTGACCATTAATAAGAGCCAGGGCCAAAGCCTGTATCATATTGGTTTGAACTCACCTTGTTCTGTTTTTATCCATAACCAATTATACATTGCTGTTTCACATGTTCAAAATAGGGAGGGATTAAAAATATTAGTTCTTAATAAAGATAATTGCTCCACATATTGAACTTTTAATGTTGTTTACAGGAAAGTCTTTGATAACTTGATCTAAAAAATTATGATTTTTTATTAATTTGCTTCAGATTGTATTTATTAACACATTATGCTTTTATTTTTTATCATTTGTTTTACTCTAATATATATATATATATATATATATATATAAAATATTAATTATGATAATTACGTAGTCTCACCACATATAAGATAATATGGAAAGGGTGCTTGTTATAAGTTATTGTTTTAAAGGAAAATGACAATAATTTTTTTTTGAAATATATAAATTATAATTTAATTTCTTAAAATATCATAATTTTTTTAAAGTTTTTGAAGACTTTTCTGTTATTAATAAATTTATATAAATGATCAAATTACCCTTGTTGAAAATAAATGATTCAAAATTTTTCTTCTTATATTCACAATTTTTTTTCTTAAATTCATAATAATGCAACAATAAATTACAGTTTCGCATGTTAAATTTCATATTTGATGTTACATTATTGTAAATATAAGATGAAAAGTTATGAATATAAAAATAAAAGTTGCAAATCATTTATTTTCAATAAGAACAATTTGATAATTTATATAAATTTATTAATGATAAAAAAAGTCCTTAAAAACTTTAAAAAAATTATGACATTTTGAGAAATCAAATTATTATTTATATATTTTAAAAAAATTTAATTGTCATTTTTTCTTATTTTGAAAAAGATTTTCCTATAATATTAACACCCATTTAAAAGCAGTTATAAAAACCCGCGCGCTGCGTGATAGTTTACTAGTTTTATAAAATGAATGGAAAAAATTTCGTGGTCGGAGAACTTCTATCTGGTCAATGATCGGGACATGAGCTGGCCCAAAAAAAAAAAATGGTCGGGGCATGTGATATCAAATTAAATTAATTTTGTCAGTAAACAAGTAATTTTTAAAACCAACCAATAAACTACCAATCAGGATTTGAATCTGAATTAATAAACATGTATCCGTGTTCTGATCCTGTAAGTTTTTTTTTTTTTAATTTATTAAACCATGTACGGCAAAGAACATGAGTATGACTTGCTTAATTTACTAACATTAATTTTTTTTGGATAAAATTTACTAAAATCACTTTAGTTTCGTTTAAAAAAAATACATACTCCCTCCCATTTTTAATATATCATACTTTCTAAAATTTTTGCTTGGTTATTAACACAAAACACTTTGTAGAATTTAATAAAATATTTATGATATTTTAAATATTGTTCAGATATGTAAATGATATATTTAAATGATACGTTTAACTTCAAGGTTAAGAGTTAGTCCTTAATAATTTTAATTGAGATCTGAGAGTAATTAGAAAATGTTATAGTGATTTTGAAAGAAGTCAAGACTTTTGATTAACTTTAACTACATTATTAATTCACTTAAATTGATTAAAAACATCTTATAAATAGACATGGACGCTAATCTAATATTCCTCGTCCATAAGATAAGTCATCTCCTCTTAATTTTACTTAGATCAAAATAGAAGTCTGTTGATAACGTTAGAGCATTTGATATTTTAACCTCTTTTTCCATCGGGAAAAAAAAAGATATTTAACCTCTTCTAACTTTTTGTTGGTTTATGTGCTATTGTTAGAGTGCATGTGTTATCGATTCATGGATAATCTTCACATAATCACATTACCATGCACCTAATAGCACAGAATTCCCCACCCGCCTAGCATGCGAAACTTCTAGGAAGATGCTCACAAAAAGTTCTGCTCCCTATTTTACAATTTACAGCGTGATCATAGGAAAATTTATAAATAAGTTCTAATTAAGGGACTCGTTTACAAATAAATTTCAATAATTAATGAAAATACTCTAAAATCTCTTGAAAATTTGTCGTAATGAATTTTTCCTGTAATTTAACACAAATGCTTTTTAGATTATCCCCTTGACCAACGTTGATTGATGCCGACCAACTGCCACTGGTGCAAAAATAATTTTTATTTAAAATATTAATATTTTTATATTTATAAATCAAACATTGAAAATTTATAGGTGAATATTTAAACGGAATTAATTTTAAAATCCTTATATTTTTATTTAATTTTAAATTAGGGCCATGTAATTTATTTTATTTTAAGTAAGTCCTTATAATTTAATTATTTAAATGTGTTAATCCTTGGTTGTTAAGATCCTTTAATTTTTTCTTTTCAAAAATTAAAATTAAGGACTTTCATATGTTTATTAAAAGATTATATAATTTTAGTGCTGGTAAAAAATTATATAATTTTAGAATTAATTGAATAATTTTTTAATTTAAGATTTATATAATTATGTTATGGTTTTTAAATAACTTTTACACATGCATAATTTTCATAAAAAATTAATAAAAATATAAATATTGTATTAATTAAATTTTTTTGACTAAAAATATTAGACCAATTTTTTTATAGATTTGAAAGGTGTTTTTATTTTGAAAAATTTAATCATTCATTAATAATGATAACTTGTAATGACTAAATATTTAATTAATCAAATTATAAAGACTTAATTAAAACAAAATGAATTACAGGGACTTGCGAGTATTTTAGCAACTTTTTAAGACTTAATTGTAATCAAGTCCCTTTTTTGGTAGTTATATGCAACTTTCACTATATATTTCATCTCCGTTCTTGGCTGCTTCTACCTGTTCTGTTTGGTTGCTTTTGATCCTACAGTGCAGAGCTATAGTGGTTTACGAAGCAATCTTCGTCAATTCGTGTTTATCATCTTTGCCCCTCAGAATTTAAGGGATGAGTACGCTTCAACAAGATGCATTGCTCATGGAGAATGGCCACATCAAGGGTTTGAGCAGGGAGCTGAGGCATGGCAGGACTGCTCATAACATGTCCTCTTCTTCCTTGCGCAAGAAATCCGACTTAACCCTTGTTTCCAAGGTTCAGTGGTGTTTGCTCAGGAATTTGCTCGTCAATTTCCAAGAGGTCATCCTTGGGACCAAGCTGTCGATTCTCTTTCTTGTGATTCCCCTTGCCATCGTCGCCGAAGTCTACAGGTTCGGTCGAGTAAGTGATGTTGAATGCTTGATTTGTTATTTTGCAAGCGAGGGAAATGATATAAGCAAATGAAACCGAGTGTGTGACATACCAGCTAGGAAAATTTGTGAAATGTTCGAAATTTGTGTATATGTGAAGTGCCCTGCAGCTATTAAGGTTTGGTGGTTGTGATTTATTGTGCCAACTTCGCTGAATTCTATTTGGTTTGTGAGAGTTAGTTCTGCAGAATGCTTAGTTTGATGTTAATGGGTCCTGAGTGTCACAATGGTTGTTTGGCAGGGAAGAAAATGGTAAAAAGGACGAGATGGGTGTAAGAAATAGCAATTATGAAGAGTGATATCCTTTCAAATTTTGGGTATTTGAGATTTGATCGCAACGTTTGGTGTTTTTGTGATTTGTTGCAAACAGCCTTGGGTTTTTGCGTTGGCCTTAGTGGGACTTACGCCACTAGCTGAACGCGTCAGCTTCTTGACAGAGTAAGCAATTCTGATGAACTTCTTGCATTTTTTGTCATGCAAGCTATTCTCTTTCTTGGAAAATTCTTATTTTGGTTTTGCTCTCTTCCTTGGTGGATGTTAATTCAAATATCGCAGACAAGTTTCTTACCACACGGGCCCAACAGGTATGAACCTACCATTTATACTCTCTTGTATTCTTCCTATGTATAAATTAGTTAATCATAGGCTACGTTATAATTATTGGGTACCTTAATTTTAACCCTTCGTTAATTTTAACCGTGAGGTTGAAAACACGGGGAATAATAATATAGTCGAGGGGCTAAGAAAGTTAGATACATTGTGTTTTGGCATGGTCAATGATGCAGCCAAATTGTGAAACTAAGTATTTAAAGAAGTTATTGTGAGCTGATCTTTGCTACCCACGTCAGGACTCAGGCTGGTCTGATCACTTCAATTCCTAAATTTTGTCTTTTACATGAAAAAAGACTCAAAGCCGGAAAAATTTGAGTAAATCACTCTGAACTACTCACAATTATTTGGAGATTACACAAATTCCTCCTCTATCCTCAAAATATCAGTCCAATTTGAATTTTATTTTTTTAAAATTCATATTATTACCATTTACATTTTAACATTTCTCTGGGATCCTAAATACGCCTTGTTAACTTAAATATACCAATATGTATTAGATACAGATCTGAACCAATAAAAAAATAGAGTTTGTTTTCATCAAAATAATAAGAAAGAAAAGGGTGTACTTTCTTTCTTTTTTTACACACAAAAGGGTGTACTTTCTCTTATTAAATGAATTGGGGGTATTTTTGTATAAGGGTACTAAAGGCACAATTTTGCTTTCGGAAATGGATGTGTATATTTTGAAAATTGAGAAGTCTCTACTATCTAATTTCAGTAAAGCGATGTCTATATAATTTATACTAGAAACTTTATCACTCATCGTTCTTTCAATTTTGGAATGTAAATTGACATCAAATTCTATCGCTTCTTTGGTTTTGATCACAACATTGCAACTTTGTGATATTTGCGCTCTTAGAAATGGTCATGTCACAGTTGTAGAGATAATGCACTTGCAAATTGCAATACCATTAATTTATGATATTGGAACACTTAATGCTGTTGAACTGATGCTTTGGGTTTTCTGGTTTGCAGTTGGAGGACTCTTAAATGCAACATTTGGCAATGTCACAGAACTCATAATAGCAATATTTGCTCTCAGAAATAATAAAATAGCTGTGCTCAAGTATTCTCTCTTGGGTTCAATCCTTTCAAACCTTCTTTTAGTTCTTGGAACCTCCCTCTTCAGTGGTGGAATAGCAAACATTAGAGGAGAACAAAAATTTGATAGGGTAAGGCCCTGAAGCCTCATTCAAAATCAATTATGTATGGTAGATCTTGATTTTCCCCCTCCTTCTTAGCAAATGATGCCTAATATCATGCGTTGAATTTTTTTTGGTTAAACAGAAACAGGTAGATGTGAACTCACTTATGCTGCTGCTGGCATTTTTGTGCCACTTGCTGCCTTTGCTGTTCAGATATTCTGGTATCTCAGCTGCTCTTGATACAGGCCCATCTCTCCACTTGTCAAGAACTGCAAGTATTGTGATGCTGATAGCATATTTTGCTTACCTTGTCTTTCAACTTTGGACCCATCGCCAGTTATTTCAAGCTGAGGATGTAGGCATCTTAATTTATGAAACCATTAAGTTGTTTGTGTTTGTGACCATTTGATGAAGACTTAATACCATCAATCTTTGATCAGGAAGAAGATAATGATAATGTTGCAGAAGTAGCTGTGATAGGATTTTGGAGTGGGTTTGCTTGGCTTGCTGGATTGACTGTACTCATTGCCATCTTGTCTCAATTTGTGGTGAACACAATTGAGGTAACCGGGTTCAATCCTTAAATGCCTGATTAAGCGCCTGCATAGCAGACAAGCAGCAGTTCTTTGCCACCTGACTTGATATGGAAATGACTATGAACTTCATTTTGATTCTCATAAAATAATACTTCATGGTATACTAAAATTCTTTTTGATATTGGCAGGGTACTTCAGATTCATGGAGCCTGTCTGTCAGCTTCCTTAGCATCATCTTGTTGCCAATAGTTGGCAATGCAACTGAACATGCAGGGGCAATCATATTTGCTTTGAAGAACAAGCTAGTGAGGATTTGGATAATTTTATGAAATTAGATATTATGGCCTGTGCAGGGAACCCCATCTATAGCAAATCAAGTCGTTCACAATTTGTGAAAAGTGCAGTTTCTTATAAATTTATTAGATAGATGGATAGATAGATTCCATAGAATCCATACCTTCTGCATTTCAATGTGTAACTTCCTTGAAATTAAACCAATGGGTTGGATGATTGCAGGACATCTCATTAGGTGTTGCTTTAGGTTCTGCAACTCAGATTTCCATGTTCGTGGTAAGAATACACTTTTATAACAGAATGTCAATTTTAATTTAGATTTAGTTTTTGAATCAATGACAGCTCACTTCAAGAACATACATTCACAACGTAGGTTCCCCTGTGTGTCGTCATTGCTTGGATAATGGGTATCAGAATGGACCTTGACTTCAATCTCCTTGAGACCGGTTCTCTTGCTTTGGCTATTTTAGTCCCATCTTTCACTTTACAGGTATAATTTCACCTGCCATCGTTTGAACTGGGAAAGATGAAAGAAAAACAACCTGAATTGCACTCATATTTTGACTTCATTTCTTCATTCAAATCTGTTGACGAAAGAAATTTTTCCACCTCAAATCTTATAGGATGGGACTTCTAACTACATGAAAGGCCTTGTTCTCCTGCTCTGCTACGTTGTTATTGGGGCATGCTTCTTTGTACAAAGAACACCACCCAGTAAGTATTACATGCTATTTAATTTTGGGGCTACGTAAATATAATCAGGTAACTCGTATTTGGATTCTAGAAAGATGAATGTTCTATTAAGTTGGTCAAATTTATCAATATGGCACTGTAGTGGACTATAGTTAATGATTAACAATTTAACGTAAGTCATAGTAGGATCACATGGATGGGGTTCGATAAACTTTTGTAGTCAAAATGATGGTAAATTATTTTAGTAAAAACTGGTTAAACATGCATCTGTCAAGTATCCAGATGGCTTCTCTTCTTCCTAAATATGACAATCATATCTAACTTCTGATCGCTTCCTTTTCCTAGACCAGGCTGATGTTCCAAACATGATCCTTAAACCTCCAACTGAAGCAGCTTGAAGATCTTAGTAGCGGGGACAAGGGACATAACCACTTGCACCCACACAAGAACTCTGGAGTGGACAAGGGACAAAATTTCATTGTAGGTTTTGACCTATCAGGGTCGCTTCCTGAGACGAAGGATAAGAGCATCCATACTAACTTCCGACAGATCCAATGGATCTACGACCTCCAAACGGAAATCTGAAGGTGTTTGCGTTAACTTCGCAGGAACGTTGATTGCAGACCGTGTATATAATAATACATCTCTCTAAGTGCTGTTGGCTCTGAGATTTTCATCTTGCATTCGTGAAATCCCAGAGTAGCGTAGCAAAAGCTACTAGGTGTATTATAAATTCTAATGGTTTAATGGTGAAAGGTAGGCATGCAGTTAGCAAGATGTTTGAGGTTTTAATTGTCTGTTTCATCGTATTAAAAAAAAAACGTTCAGCTTGTGTTTTGAGATGCGAAACGCCTGTGTTGTGAGCCTGTAATAATTCTCATTATAAGAAAGTCGTTTTGGATCATTCGATGTAACATTCTACTGGGGAAAATCATTCCGACATTAGCAAGATTCCTCGAGTATGCTGAGTCTGTTGTCACATGCAGGCCTTGTTTTCTCTCTTGCTCTTTAGTTAGAGAACATGGACGCTGACACCACTCTGACACACTGAAAGTCACAAATGTACTTTTTGTTCTGGCATCACAATACAATTATTGCAGCTTCTTTGAATATAAGAATATTACTTGAATTATTTGCTCCCATATTGATTATTACTTCAAATGTTGGTGACACGTTGCTCATTACATAGGTTTAACAGTTGTGGACCTACAATATAGCTTCATTTCTTGTTTACTTTTAAAGGTGCAGATCAGATTAGTAGTAATGCAGCCACATCATGTGACCCTACTTCAGTCCTTTAAAGAAAAGTGAATATATCTCTCTGTTTATTCACTATTTTTAGACATCTCTATTCTCTGGTCCCTACGAAAATTAGAAGATGGCAATTATTTAAACTTCCTTTCTCCTTAGGTTTTTGGTCACGGTGTTTTGTCCAAGTTTGGTTTTAGTGTTTATCATTGTAGTGAAATTTGTGTTGAATATGTTAATATTTTAATAATATTTCAAAATGAATTATTATTTTGATTAATAATATTAATTATCATTTAATCTATTATTTTGTAACTTATGATTAAGACATTATTTTTTTCTGAAACCATTCTTTAAATACATTAGCCGGTGTTTAATTGTCTAGTGTTTATGAGTTTTATGCCTATAAAAGGCAATGTAGTTTGCGTAGTAGGTCACCCAAGTCCAAAACTTTCAGACACTCTGCTCTCCTCTCCTTCTTGTGCTTCTCATAAGTTATTATGTATTTTTTGATATTCTGTCACCTAGTTCGTTTTACGGAGGGTTCTGCTTAACTTTAAAAAGATCCAACAATTGTATCAAAATTGGTCTTAAGGACAATATCTTTAGGCATGACTTGGAACAGATTTTCTACAGAATTTTCCAACAATTTTAAAAGCAAATGCCTGTTATTATTTAATAAAATCTCATCTATATTTTATTGTGCGTGTGCATATTTGGGTCTGGTGTGAGGTGTAGAACTTAAAATGGGACATGTTGATATTGAGATTTTTGATGAGTTTCTCTTAGCTCACCCTAATTATATCTTTCGAGCGTGTAATTAAGCAGGTATGAAAAATTGAATCTGGTGTGAATGGATTTTTCTTGGGAGTATGGAACAGTAGTTGTCTGGATATTACAAATTCTAATTTTGGATATGGAAATCATGATTTGAGTGTTTGCTTATGATGCTCTTGTTTTATGTTCTTGGTTCTGGAAAGAGGAATGTAGAACAAAATTTTCAGTTTTTCATGGTTAGAAATTTAAAAAACGATGCTTGAAAATTTAATAATTGAAAGGCATGCATAATGAAATACTAGAAATTAAATGCCATTGTTACCTGAAAAAAATTTAAAGATAGTTTATTTTCTTTCGGACAGTGAAAAGCAACAGGAAATGTTATGAATCCAGATTTTCGAGTATATGTATGTTGTGGCATACTGAGTCTGGTTTAGTTTTTCTAAAAATCATGCGCTTGCTTATAATCTAGCATGAATTAATAATTTTGTTGATGAAATTAATTTTCTCGATCAATGCCTGATCTGGAAAATTTTACAGTCTCTCGTGACAATTGTGATTGCAAAGTACGAGTCCAGCGTTGGACATTTGAATATATATATATATATATATATTGGTGTTAGTGAATAATTTCCTGTGGAATATTCTTTAGATTTAATTTGCACTTGATAAAAGAATTTTTCCAAGACTAGAAGATTTAGTTGTTATGTGTTGTGACTAAGCATTTGGGATTTCAATTCGAGAGTGGCGAGATTGTTTTCTAAATAGATTACTAAGGCTGCAAGAATATTACAAATGGTTGCAGGAACATTGATAAGAAAAAGTAAGCCTTGATATTGGAATTTCGAAACATGGGATTATCCAATAAAAGTGGCATTTATTAAATTATTTAGCAGGGGTTCATGAACTCCGATTATGGTACTTTATTTTTTTAAAAACCTTTTGTCAGTTATTTGAAGATGCTATTACATAGTATTAATCAAGGTTTGATGGTCTGTTTTCTTTAATTGATTGCAATTGAAGTTGCAATTTTCTATGAAAATAAATTATTTATTCTCAATTGTTGTAGAGATAATGTGTTAGTAATGAGAAGCATGATTTCCTAATTGTGATACCTTTTGGTTGTAGACGTTAATGAATATTTATTTGCATTTAAAAAAAATGAATGAGTTATTTTAAAGTGGTTATATAATGTAATCTTTCGCAGCTGTGGTATCTCATAGTTCACAGCAAGATGGATATTGTGGGCTTTAAGCATTATGTCCAGAACTCATGAACAAACGATTTGGTAATTTGTTTTTTTTTTGAAAAATTTATTTTAAAAAAAATATAGCTTTGGATTTTGCATTTTGCTCGTATTTTATTTTAAATTTTTATACTTTTTTTAATATTTTAAATCACTATATTTTTATTTTTCATTATTTTAGATCCCTTCAAGGTTTCTGTATTTTATTCATGAAGAGATTTAGAATAATAAAAAATAAAAGTATAAAGATCTAGAATACAAAAAAAAAGTAGAAATTAATGACAAAATACGAGTAAAATATAGGGATAAAAAATTATGTTTTTTTCTTTATTTTATATATGATAATGATGATGATGAGCACACTAGAGTAAGAAGAAATTATGAGTGTCACGATTTGTGATAGAATACGTTCAAAGAATTGCGTACGCACTGAAGGAGTTCTATTGTTGGGCTTTATTGTCACAAAGAAAATTATACATAGTGTTTACTTGCAATATAGACGTTGCCGAAAATGTTTTTTTGATTAATTTACAAATTAATATCCAAAATTTGGGGGCTGTGCGCATGAACTGATATGCTATATGGTGGATTTAAAATTGTGAGAAGTTCTAATTTAATTAGAATAGAGAAAATTATATGGCGAGATTCTAATTTAATTATAATTATTATTGATAAAGTATAGAAATAATTTTCATGTGATTGAAATAACTAAAAATGTGGAGGTTTCCGTCCAGCAGAAATTATTTTATCTCTTTATAAATGAATATGTGTTGTACCAAATTGTTAGTCATATTTTAATTGAGAGCCTCATTTTGTGAATGTCAAGATATTTTTATGTTGTGATTTAAAGAAAAATTTGAAGTGTAGGCTTTATTAGTTGTAAATTTTTAGGCAAATCAAATGCACTACATTATTTGTAACCTATTCAATTAAAATACCTCAAGTTTAAATAAAATTTTATGTGACATTATTTTAATTACTTTTATTTTTATAACAAAATGCATATATAATTTTTTACTTTTATTCTCTCTATTATCATTAATGTCATCATAAATTTATATTTAATGACATTTAAATATTATATTTTTAATGATATGATTCATTTGGTTTATTTAAAAATTTCTCTTGCTTAAAAGTAGAATTTGGGATTTATCAAATTCTTTTGTGGCATGAAACAAGCATTATGTGGGTGGCGTGAAAAGTTAATCATTTATCTAGTATTTATAAAAATGGCACATGCGATCTATTTATCTTCACATCAAGTGCTCGTTATTGTGAATAATGATCATTTCTTTATATGTGGCTATGAAAGTAAATATCACATTTGAACCAGAATGAAGTAAGAGTTTATTACTCTGAGGGATAATATAAATATAGGTATCATATATAATGAATTTTTATTGTATTAAAATAATATACTAACGTTAACTAAATTTTATATTTAGATGAAGAAAAATTTATTAGTGGCCAAATAATATATTATGAGGATAAGAGTTTATTATTCTGGTAGTGACTAATAACTAATGAGGTTAAATAGTTGAAATACTTCTTAGTGAATAATATATCAAGTGTAATGTATATTGACTATGTTGATAATTTGTGATAGCTAGTTAGCAATGGCTACAGCAAAAAAAATGAGACATTTAATGGCAATAACATATGTATTCAATTGAGGAATAATATTACAAAACAACTATTAAAAGATGGTGTTATATTAATCGATTATGTGAGATTAGATATAAATCTGACAGATTCATTAACTAAACCCCTTGAGAAGAAACAAGTTAAAGAAACATCGAGAGTAATGAGATTTAAGTTAGTTTGAAATTAATAATGATAGTAACTCAACCTTTATAATTGGTGAACCCATAAAGAAAGTTCATATAGATAAGAACAAGTCATTTGTTAATTTTACTAGTACTAAAATTACTTTGCTTCTCTTCCTAAGGTGTATGAGAAAGTCTTAGAATGCATTATTGATGAGATTGAGCAAAGCTTTTATGATTTCATATTTCTTATTGATGATGTATTCATTATAGGTACATTTGATAAAATTATCTAGACAAATATGAAGTGGGCCGTTTAAAGTGCAAAACCGTCGTTGATAATAGAAATTATTGGGGGGTATAATCCAACTTATATGACCTCTAGTATATGCCCAAGAGTTGTTGGTTCATAGAAGCATGTTTCACTAATTTCTTTGTATCCTAAGTTATATTGGTCTAGGTCTGGTTCATAGTCTAAAAGACATTATAGTCAAAATAATTATATTCCATGTGAATAGCTCAAATGGTAATGTTTCTTTTGACATGTGTGGGAGATATTATTATAATGTTGCGTTCATGTGTCAAAAAGTAAATTCTACATTGCTCAAATGTATTAGAGGCCTAGGTATGTATATATTAAGGTATGAATTTGGGAAATTACATGGACTTGGAAGAGGAGTATGTTTGCGCAAATGTAGTTGAAATATGTTGATTTCCCCATGCAGGTGCAAGTTAGATGTAGAATTAGGTAATTTTTTTTTTTAGAATTATGGAAATTTTTTGCAGTGTTACAAAATTTTGGTATGAAATATCATTCCACAATTTTTCTTTTGAAATATGTGAGGGATTGTTGGATATTTTTAATAATATTACAAAAGGAATTATTATTTTAATTAATAATATTAGTGATCATTTAATCTATTGTTTTTTAACTTATGATTTAAGCATCATTATTTTCCAAAACTATTCTTTAAAGACATTAATCAGTGTTTAATTGCCTTGTGTTAATGAGTTTTATACCTATAAAAGGCTGCAAAATTGATCATCCAAGTCTGGAGCTTTTAGACATTCTACCCTCCTCCCCTCATCATGCTTCTTATGAGTTATTCTATATTTTCCGCTATTTGTTTTACAAGAAGGTTCCGAATTTTGATTAATCTTGGAAAGCTTTAACAATTGTACCAAAATTATTTTTAAGAATATTGTCCTTGAACATGATTTGAAATAGATTTTCTATAGAATTTTCCAACAATTTAAACTATCCAAATCTAGTTTACATATTTTAGTTAATATGATAATAAAAGTGGCAATTGAAATTTTTAGTTAATAATTTTGTTCTTTTAGAAGGCCAAAATTTTAGAAGATTATCATTATTTTGAATTATGCATCAATTAACAAATTCTTTTTATAAGAAAAAGTACCAAAATTTAGATGCATTTAAGAAATGTTTTCAAATTCGTACCTCATTAAAACCCTGAATTAAGTGAGCATCATTAAGTTAGGAACAAAGTGCATTAGCAATAAGGGTATTTCAGTTCCAAATATTTAATTTGAGACATGATTATTATTTATCCAGATAAATAAATTTTCTTAAACTGTAAATTAGTTAAAATTTGTTGATAGTTAAAGACAAAAGAATAATAACGATAAAATCGTTCAATAAGTAGGAGGAGATGATAATGATAAGGATACATGTTAGAAAAAATTAGAATTTGGAATTCGGGCAGGCTGAGGCTCGAACCCGAATGGGCTTGATTTCTTGAAAAGCCTGAATAGTTAAATCTGGCCCAAACTCTTTCAAATTTTGGGTGGTTAGAATACTGAAATTTTATTTTTAAAATTATTTTTAATCAATTTTTTACTTTAAAATAAATTATTTTATTTTATAAAAATATATAATATATTTTTTTGACATTTAAACGATGCATATGACTCAAATATATGGTATTTTAGTATAAAATGACCTAAAATTTAAATAATTAATTAATGTTTATTATATTTTATATATTTTGTAAAAATAATTTTTTTTATCTGGGTATCCTGATCGGATTTGGCTTGAATTTTTTTGAGTCCAAATAGGCCTGAACATAAAAAATTATATTTTTTTCTAAACCCAACTTTAAATTTTTTTGAGCGAGTTTGGGCTAGCCTGTTGGACTTAGCATGAATTATCGGCTCTAGAAGAAACAAATCTTTGTAACTTTATTATTAGGGCACTAAGCTTTGGCGTGGTTGTAGGACATCTCCATTAGTAAGGGTGTTTATGGGATTGGACGAAACGAGATAGGATTGAGACACCCCCATCCATGTCTCATCTTAAAAAATGATTAAGACTTAAAATTTATCTCGTGTCTCGTTCTTTCTCAAAAGCCATTTTGTCCAAGTAGGAGTGGGATGGGAATAGGACACCCTGAAAACCACACTTGCTTGGTTTGTCGACCATCACTTGTATTTTCAAATGATTAGTAATACTCAACCAACACATATAAAAATCATACTTCTATATATATACATATGATTAATTAATTAAGTTTTAACAAAAATAGATATATATATATATATATATATAAGGACATGAGTCACCCCAATATAAGAGCCCCTGTGGATGTGCATGCCATTTGGTTAGAGCCTATTATAAATTTATATTATAATAAGCAACAATAACAACTAGGCACGGACTCAAAATAAACTCATTATATTACTTGAATGGCAGCAATTTTGCGTTTTTAGTTTTTTAAATCAATATTAATAATTATGAGAAAACATCTCACAACTTTCTTGGCTAAATTGAACATCACATAGCAATGCAAAATTAAATAAACATAAAATATAAACAATTAAACAATAAAAATAACATAATAATTATAATATATATATATATATATATATAAAATATTGTGGGATGGGATGTCCTGAAGGGTATCTCGAGTCTAGTCCTGACTCCTTTTTTGTCTTGTCCTACAAACATCCCATCCTAATTTTTTTCTAGTCTGGACAAACCTATCCCGATATGATTGGAATAGGTACGGGCCAACCAAGATTGGTATAACTTTGAACATACTAGAGTTAGGAATATGGGTTGATTTGAATAATATAAGTTGGCTTATATGGGTTGATTTGAATAATATAAGTTGGTTTATATGGGTTGACGAAAATATGGATTAAATTAGACTCAACTTATTTTCGTATGGGTTAAAAAAATCTCAACCCTCAAGAATTGATGAGTTAGATAGGTCAACTCACCAATTCATTTGTTTTTTTAGATTATACTTAAATAAGAAGTTCTATTATTATATTTCATGTAATTAAAAAAATTATATCATAAATGTATGTGATTGATCAATTCTATAGTGATTTATTTCAAAATCTATTTGACTATGGGGTTTTAGTGCTAAAACTTCCTCCATTTTTTATTTTTCAATTTTTTTATTTTTTATAAAATAATATAAGTTAAACAAATCAATCCTAATCCATCAAGATTAATTCATTTGAGTTACTAGTTATCTAGTATGGGTTAGAAAAGATATACTTTTGCATGGGGTAATATTTTTTTCAATCCAACCAATAGAACGCTTATAATAATATACTTGGACTAATTTATTTTTCTGGAAAGTTAATTTATTTTTCTGTTTTATGAAGAACCAAATGTATATGGACCTTCAAGCTTGATTCGCTAGTTACTTCTTCTGATTAACATTTCATCATCCTGCTGCCAGACCCAGATGATATCAATTGATTCGGCAACGAATATGGCTTTCAGAACTCATTACTTCTTCGAATTCTCTTTGTATAACATGTTTTGTCTAAAACATTAACTTTTTCTGCCTAATGTTCCTAGTTAATTAAACAAACTTATCTAACTAGTGACTTTTATTGAGGGTGATTTTGAATTTTTACAAGAAATAACCAATTTTAACTTACTTTCTTAATTTACATAAAGTTATTAATAAATGCTCATTAGAAAAAAATTGAGGAGGGTGAGTTATCTGGATTCTTCACCGATAGGAATTGCAACATCAAAAGTTAAAATTGATTCAAAGTTGAGGGAGATTGCATCGACAACAGGTTAACTATTCAAAATTAGCCCAAATTATGTGCGTAAACGAGGAAAACAGATCCTCTCCTGTTTTTTTTTTCCCCCTCCTCTTGCACTGTATCCTGCTCCATTAAAACGTCTGGTAGATTGGTAATTGTTAAGAAATAGAATCAAGAAAAATAAAGTGTGGCAGTGTGTTGCGATGATTCTCACTAAAGAACAATGTTAACCAAAGAATCTTTTTGACACAAAAAGTGGTTTAGTTGAACATAAATTTGATGAGATTTGGTGAGACAGACCCTATATAAGGAAAGCTAGAGTGATCCCTACGGATGATCATTGATTCAAAAGATCAACGAATATGCAATGTGAAAAAAAAAAAAAAAAAACCCTTTATGCTGTGTTTGACACACAATGAAAAAAAAAAAAAGGAAAGAGAAAATGGAGAGAATAAAAAAAATGAAAGGATGTTCAATAAAAAAAAGAAAAAAGAAAAATGGAAAGATAAAATTTTCTCTCTCGATGTTTGATTGAGCTAAAAAAATAAGAGGCAAGAAACATTATTAAATATATATATATATATATATATGATAATAACTTTATTGTTTGTAGAAAATATATTAATATTAATTTTTACTATATATTACTGGTTAAATAAGAATATAATTATAAATTCTTTTATCTTATGCTATCAAAAAATATTATTTTATCTAATTTTGATTTTTATTTCATAGATTATTAAATATATAATAATCTAGATTTTAAATTGGAGAGGAAATTAGGATGAAAATGAAGAGAAAATTGGGGAAAAAACCTGATCACTAAATTATTTGGGAAAAGGGATCAAAATTGCAGAATAAGAAAGAGAAAGTGCACAATAAATGAAGATAAACGGCAGATTGTGAAAGAAATTTTGTGGATTTTGAATATTGTCCTTTTCTCCAATTAGTTTGGTGATGAGGTATTTTTCTCCCATTTTTCCTATAAATAAATCTCTTTTAAAACAAAAGTTTACATTGTATTTAAATATACTTTGAAATTTCGAAAAAAATAATTTTTATTTTATTTGAATTGAATTTAATGCAAAATGCATTTACAAAGTGAAAGTACTTTATTAAAATAAGAGTTATATATATATGTGTGTGTGTGTGTGTGTGTGTGTTTTCAAAACTAAATTATACTATACAAGCAGATAATTATAACACAAATGTAATTTATTTATTTACTCCAAACCGAAGTCTAACCAAAATCCTTCGGACAATCACCGAATCTTCCTGGACCCTTGCACACAGTATCCAACTCTCCTTGACGTTTCCGAATCAAGCTGGCAAAGCCCAAAACCTTGTCTTCCTTCTCTTCACTCGTTCCTCTCCCTTCTCCTTCAAAGTTTTTCTGTCTCTGCTACTTCCTCTGTCTCTCTCTCCTTATCTCTTCCATTTCTTCATCCCCACCACCATGCCGGAGGAAAGAGCTGTTGTAGCATGGTGCAAAATCCCCACTTTGAACAGCTCTCACTGCTCCTCCGACGACCATCTGCCGCTATGGAAGAACAACATCAGTACCCTCACTCTCACTCGCGGTGGCATTCCTTGTAAATTCGCTTGCGTTTCTGTGGCAGAAAGGAAATTGGACAAGGAGTTCTTTCCCAGTCCTGCTCAGCTCTTGAAGCATCCGCTTGCTATAGTCGCACTCGTGCCCAAAGACGCAGCGCTTTTCCTCGCCGGCGCCGTCGCCGGCGCTGCTGCCAAGACCGTCACTGCTCCGCTTGACCGTATCAAAATTCTTATGCAGGTTCTCCCTAAGACTTCTCTTTCAGAGTAAACTAACAAGTTTGTTAGCCTTAGTAACTGAAAATATGCTTATTATTCCTTTTCTCGAAAACTCAGATATGCCAAAAGAATTAGGTTTTATTGAGCACATTATTCGGGATTGCAGCTAAATGCACCAAACCATTAGTTCGTATCCAACGCATTTCTTATCCTTCCAGGTGTGCGAGTATTTAGGTGGTGTCAGGAATTTTAGTTTATCAAGTATTTGGTTTGTTGATCAGATATTCATGCATATGAAACATGCCAAGTTAAAAATCTATGCGTTATATTTGTCTTTATTTTATTTTTCATATTTTTTTGTTGTCAAATTTTTTATAAATAAGTTTCTTAGCAGTTGGGAAATTAGATTATCCATAAATCTATCCGGTATTTCGCCGCTTTTTTCCTCTCCACTTGCTCTCTTTAGTTCTGTGCGCTTCCCTTTCTTCTATTGAATTTGTCTTTTGTGCTTTTATCTTATTTGGATGGATTTCTACTTTTTCTGTAAGGTTTTCGGGTATGATGCTGGATGTCTTTTTTTATTTCTTCGTTTACCATTCATAAACTTCTTCAGTGCTTTTCTGTGCTGGTTACAAATACTTTTGCTTTATAGTGATATTCATTGCATGTATTGTTGTTGAGTGTAAATTGGTTGATGTTTTCAAATGACACCATCTATTATCAGACACATGGAGTGCGAGTTGGGCAAGAGAGTGCTAAAAAGGCGATTAATTTTATCGAGGTAATGACTTATTCCATCTCATCCACCCTGTTGCCACCCCTTTCAAAGAATGATGTAATATGCTATTTTGTATTAAGTTGTTTAAACTACGTGCTTATTGGATATGTTCTATCCAATAGTAACCTTCCTTTCTACCTTTTTCATTCCCTTTTTTTGGCCTGAAGCTCTCGTCATGTTTAAATTCATATAATTTGCTTGTTACTGCCTGCTGAGTCAGGGTTATCATGGAAACCAACTGTATATGCTTACCTGAAGTTATTTTTGGGATCACTTAATCATTTGAGAATTAGCATATTTGGCTTCCGCTCTTTATATTTTTCCAGTCTGCTGATAAAATAAAATCACGCCAGAAAGTAGTCTACTACAAGACGGCTTATTCATTGACAACTTTGAAAAATGAGATATATATATATATATATATATCATTAACTCCTGAAAGTTCCTTCTCGGCTTCTCATGGGAATTAGAACAATGCAATTATGTGATTGTAAATACTTGTAAATACTTTATAATGGATCTGTTTTCTGTATAAATTCATGGGTTATTCACTATCTTTATGCTTGTTATGTCTTGTCTTTTGTCTATTTCCCATCTTACTCACTCTGGGCTCCCCTGACCAGAAAATTTCTCTCAATTTTAGCTTATCTGAACGTGATTTACAGGCTGTAACAGTTATAGGAAAGGAAGAAGGCATTAAAGGTTACTGGAAGGGTAATCTCCCCCAGGTATCTGTTATTAGGATAGATCATGTTGATACTTCATTCTATATTTCTTCTGATAATATTGCGCAGTCATTTAACTATTTAAGAGTTAACTCTTTTATGTTCCAGGTTATTCGGGTGATTCCTTATAGTGCCGTCCAGCTTTTTGCTTATGAAATTTATAAGGTTCTCTCCTAATTATCTTTCAACAACTTTAAACACCATATCACCATTTTGAGTCTAAAGTTTTAATTTTGGGTCAGAAATTGTTCAGGCGAAAGGATGGTGAGCTATCTGTTGTTGGAAGACTTGCAGCAGGTGCTTGTGCTGGCATGACGTCTACTTTTGTAAGTAACTCATTAGGAAAGTTACATTGTTGCTTGTATCCTTGGGAGTTTCTGGCATCGTGTCATTAGTTCTATTACAGGCTTTTACTTTATAGTTTTTTATGCCTTCTAAGAGCAATTTCTTTTTTCTTTTTTATTTTAAACCAACCAGTTTTTAGATCTTACAAGTATTTAGATTTCTGTAACGTACTATGGTAGTTTTATACGTTGTACCTTATTCTTTTGAATTCTGTGAGTAAACTTCTGTCTTGGTCCCCCAAAGTGCTCTGGTTCTCCACATAATCAAATTTTTACGGTGAATATCTCAAAGGTTTTGAATAGATGAATAAAAAATGATTTATCAAATATTGCTAGCACAACTAGCAACTACTAAATGAAATGCTTCAAACTTAGCTGGAAGTTTTGGCAGTTATACTAAGAAATAGGATTAACATGTAGACAGAATGTAAACTTATTCTGTCACAGAATTTTACAAAGGAAAAAAAAAATGTAAAACTAAGTAAACTCCATATTCATGTGAGATTCAACAAAGTTTTATGTTGGCTGTCAAGGACCTAACACAACTCTCCTCCTTTACTCGAGCTTGGGACGGGCTATAAACATAGGCAGAGTTGTTGACCGAGGCTTCTTAGTTAACAATATTCCTGAAAGCTTGGTAAATCATAGAGTACAATGGCGTTATACAATTCATGTAGCTGACTCCACCTAATAGGATGGGGCTTGTTGTTTTTGTTGTTGTAAGTAAATTGTGCCTAACCTTTTTTTAAATTTCCCAGCCCTCCATAACTCACGAGTCATATTGCAATTCCTTGTTCAAGAAGTGTTTAAAGCTTTAAATAACTTTTTGAATCTTCCACTGGCTTTGGAAAGATTGAGAGCTTGAAGAGAGAAAGTAAATAGTTAAAGAATTTTTTCCCCAAAATCAAATGAAGGTTGCCACCAATATCGAACCATGGCTAGCCATAGTCTGCTGTTAGCTTCTCTCTATTTCATCAAAATATGAAAGAAAGAATTAGAGATGCTGCTGGTAATAGAGATGACTAACAACTGGACCCTTCACTTGTTGTAGAAAAAAATTTAGAAAGCCATTACTTTGGTGGAATAAGGAGATTTCATGTTTTTAAGGAGAGGGAAAACTATTACTTAAGCCTAAGTTAGCTGGCTTTTCTCCACATCAACATTTACTGGTGCAGTTATCTATGTAGCACGGATACTTCAAAAAAGTAAACATACCCGTATCCGATACGATACTTGTAGGATACTTCTGCATATGTATCCCATATTCTAACATTTGTTATATGATTTTTTTTTCAATAATTTTTTACTATATCACTTAAAAACTTGAAAAAACACTTAATATTTTAGTTAATTACTATAAATATCCTCATATTACTTTAGAAATTCTTGTTTAAAAATCAAAATACCTATACTTACATCACAAAATGTTGAAATATACATTATAAATATTTCCGTACCCGTATCCTAAAATTTTGAAAATTTGCTGTATCCCTGTATCATGCCGTATCATATCGGATACTCGTACCCGTATCTATGCAACCTAGGTTATCAGTCACACTTAACAGTGCACATCAACAAGATCATTAACAGAGTCAAAATTAATACACATGAATCACTTAGCTGCGATTTAAACTTATGGAGTGTTTGAATTTTTTTAAAAAAATTAGTCAGGGACTAAATAAGGAATTGGAGTATATATCTGGAGACGACCAAAATAGTAGTTTGAGTACAATTTTAGTTTTTCCTTAATGCAATGCGTGTATCTAATCTGGTATGGTTCTTATAGGTAACATATCCATTAGACGTCCTGAGATTACGATTAGCAGTTGAACCAGGCTATCAAACCATGTCACAGGTAGGATTGACCTGCTTTTTGTTTTTTACAAGGTCTTAGTTTGTAGATGAAAACTGCTGAATATTTTCAGGTTGCCTTGAGCATGCTAAGAGAGGAAGGTTTGGCATCATTCTATTATGGCCTCGGGCCTTCTCTTATTGGAATAGCTCCTTATATTGCAGTAAACTTTTGTGTTTTTGACTTGTAAGTCAGTGGAGATCTTTTATTTATTTATTTTGACAAATTGAAGGGGAATGAACTTGAATATTGATTCTGAAATATCCTCATCTTCTTTGGGTAATAGATTAAAGAAGTCTTTGCCAGAAAAGTATCAAAAGAGAACTGAAACATCTCTCATCACAGCTGTGCTTTCTGCATCTCTTGCCACCCTTACATGCTATCCTCTGGACACTGTACGGAGGCAAATGCAATTGAGGGGCACACCTTATAAGACAGTTTTAGATGCCCTTTCAGGTTAGGATTGTTCCCAATTACTTTTAGCATCAGCAAATTATAGTCCATACTTGGGAGACATGCGTGTATTTCTCTCAGCATTAGTGTTCACATAACCAATTGTCAAATACATGAGCCCTGGTGGTTATTCAACTTCAGAATTTAATATGTGCAATTGTACAATATATAAAAAATCAGCTTTCTCGTTTAAGTTCACTTTCTATAAACTTAAAAGTATACATTATTTGAATAACTTTAATGGTACATGGTAGTTAAGTTTGTAGCACTGAAGTAATTGAATATTTTCTAAGAATTTCTCTTATATAATCCAAAGTTATGTGTATGTATGTGTAGATACTCTTCTGGCATACTTCAGAATTGTCTGGTTGGCTCAACTTTAATAATTCAGTCATTTGTGCTAATATCAGGTTAATAACTTCATTGATGCAGGTATTGTGGCACGCGAAGGAGTTATCGGCTTGTATCGGGGCTTTGTACCCAATGCTTTGAAAACCCTACCAAACAGCAGGTTCCCATTATCTTCTTCAATTCCTGACTATAGAAATAATTAAGACCATGGTACATTGATGTGGTTTTGTTGCACCCATCTTTGATAACCTCAAAGCAATTTTTAGGTTCATGTTCTACTTCATTTTTGTTTTTTGGTGGTTAAAAGTCCTTGCCCTATCTGTATTGGTATAGATTCTATTCCTTGGCTACTGTGGTTTCTGTTTTTGTCTCATCTGTATTCTATTTGAAACCAAAGCTGTTCTTTGTCTCCTGAAATTCTCCCTCGTTTCTCCGTGCAGCATCAGGCTTACTACATATGACTTCATTAAACGCGTAATTGCAGCTAGTGAGAAAGAGTTTCAGATAATCACAGAGGAGAATCGCCAGAAACAAAACTAGACAAATGAATATTGAAGTTGATCATCGGATTCAATTTTGTTGAAGGCATTTTTGTCCTCCAAAATTTTTGGTGGAATTAGTACTCCCTGAAAATCATTCATTATTTATGAAAATTAGCTTAATGAGAATTCACATGCTCTGTTTTGTTGTTTTTTAGGGGTTATTTCTTATTATGCTTAGTGAGATATCGGACATTCTCATACTGTCTCTAGGAATTGTTAATTTTATAGGATATACATTTCTACCTGGCACCTTGTAAGTTTTATTCTTGTATTGAATTCATCATGAGCTGTATTTATTTGCTCTGGAATTTTGTATGCCGTGTAAAATAGTAGATTTTCATGCCTGTTCTTATGTTTCTTTGTAGTGTTTCCATTTTGTTCTTATGAGACCATCTTAGGCCTGAGAGTTAATAAATTTAGTAATGCTTCGTGCACAGCTCCTACATTGATAATTTGGCATGCAAAGTTTTGAATTCAGGTTTGTGTACAACTAAACTATATGAGGATCACTTTCAAGTCATTCTAATAAAATTATTTGCAGGTAATGACTAATGGCAAGTAACAATTCAAGAAAAAATAATTACTCTCTGTTATCATTTTAATAATAAATAATTTTGTATTAATCTTTATCTACAAATAATATTTTTGGGATGTTTTTGGATGTGCTTCTTTCAAATAAAAAGATACTATTCAGAACCACTGAATGTTAGTTTAACTAAATTCTTTAATAAAATTATTTGCAGGTAATGACTAATAGCAAGTAACAATTCAAGAAAAAATAATTACTCTCTGTTATCATTTTAATAACAAATAATTTTGTATTAATTTTTATCTACAAATAATTTTTTTGGGATGTTTTTGGATATGCTTCTTTCAAATAAAAAGATACTATTCAGAACCACTGAATGTTAGTTTAACTAAATTCTTGAATTTTACCTTCAAGCACCCATAAATCATGGATAATATTTGATAATTATAGTTGATTATTTTTACAGTTATGATTAACGTTTATCATTTAACAAATATCTGAAACGGAAAAATATTCTCATTTAAATTTAAATTTAAATTATTATAAAGAGAAAATAAATTATGTTTCCCATTAAAACTTACATCTCAAAAGTAATTGATTTAAAATAAAAAAATTATTAAAATTTGCAATAAAAATAAGATATCTCCAAACTGGCGGGTCACAGAGAGAAGACCTCACATGCGTGTCCGGCTTCGGTTCTTCCCTCCGGAACTTGATAGTGTTTGCCGCTAAAGGCGAAGAAGCAGCGAGCCTCGACCTCCACGAGCTTCCAACATTTCGATGTCTCACAGCTTGCAGCTCTCATTCCCTGCAAGCACTTTCGGCTCTTCTAGGAATATCAAGAGAACCAATCCTCAGTGTCTCCAAATTCTCTGCTCTTCTGGACATTCCAATTTCAAAGATGAAGACGATGTTGATAATGGAAGCTTAACGATTTACTCATCTGTGGGGTGGATACCACTCAATTCTGTTCTTTTGTTGAAAGTTCATGAAGCAGTTGATTACATTAACCCATTTGAACTCAAATTCCTTGATTTCATCTGTTGTAGACAAGAAAGAAACTAGAGTTTTGAATATCTTAAAATGGCCGTTCCAATTATCCGTTTAAGGGTTGATTTTGATTGCGTCAAAATTTAGATGCCATAATAATTGTTTCTTTTCTTTTTTTTCCCCTTTTTCCTCCAGAGTCCAAGGCGTATCCTCCAAGGCGATATGGATTGAGAGATATAGCAATGGTACTACTAAGAGGTTTTGACGTAACTATACCCATACTCAGGGTTCTTTTCCATTTTTCGCCTCTATAATTCGGCTTGTTGCTTGGCATGGTTTAGTACTTTCCTGAACTTGTGTTGTGTTAGACTTCATTCCTCAAAGTCATAATCTTCGAAGTGGCTGCCTTTTCCAAACCAGGCTCCAGCTAGGACAAATTTTCTCTCCAATTATTCTATCTTCTATTTCTTATGAGCAGATATGAAGTAGATGATAAATCACAGTTAACTATTACTGTTGAGGAAGATAGGCCTACTACAAACAGTTTCCACGATTTCAATTCCCAGGACAGAAGATTAAACTGGCTTCCGCGTATAATCAAAGACTTCATTTTACCCGAAGGCTTCCCAGGTGATGGACAAGTGGCAATATGACATACATTTCTTCCTTTTTAATTTATGGTATGCCAAACAGCCTCCATATTGTTGCCAAACAGCTAAGAAATCGCAAGATTTATTTGATAATCGAATTTGAGAGTTCATATTTTACAGTTTTGGAAAATTGGATGGACTCTGATTTTGATGGACTCTAATTTGTTCATGGGCAAAACCATGTGTCTAATGATTTCAAAAATACGTAATGGTGACTTGCACTTGACAGGAGGACTAGAAGAAAACATTAGTAATTTCTGCAGATTATTCATGGTAGAGAAACTTATTGAGTTTCTATTTCAAAGACCAAATGAACTTAAGAGTAAAACTATTTGTTTCCTTACTTAGAGAACTTTTGGTGCAGGATCAGTTTCAGATGATTACTTGCGCTACATGTTGTTTCAGTTCCCTACCAATGTAACTGGATGGATCTGTCATGCCTTGGTCACTTCGAGTCTCTTGAAGGCATGTCAATCCCTCTCAGGCTACTGAATTTTTACTGGGAATGTTTTTAGAGGTTATGATACATAAACAGTCAGCAGCATTTTCATATCGCTGAAAAATCATCCTCCAAACAATAATGTTCATTTCATCTTTGAGTAATTGGTTATGATGGTTCCTTTGTGTGTGGTTTGGTGTGTTTAGCATTGAGTTTGATCATTACTAGCGCACAGCGTCTCCCATTTTACATGTCAATGAACAATGAACACAAGGGCAAGATTTAAGTCCCAGTAATGGAACCATTTAGCTTTTAAAATGAACTATTTTGGTAATGGGTCTTAAAATTCAAAATTGGCTATTTGATATCTACTTGATACATGAAAAGAAGTCAGGTATGAAAAGATAGGTTTGATTTTGAATCTTAAAATATCCCATATTTGGAGGAAGAAAAGTTCTGTATTATGAAGGAAACAATCTTTAAATGGCCGTTATTGTGATAGAAAAAATCCTGGAATTGGAAAGTACCCTTTTATCAATAAATCTTGGAGAACCTTGTGTGGGACAGTAATGTTTTCGATGATATTACACCATGTCCAATGTATACGGTAAAGAACTCGTTTTGATCATTAATCTGGTGGTGATGTCAGAATAATTCATCTGCATATATAAAGTCAGACTTGTTTGTTATAAGTCTATGAGGCACTGGTCATCAGTAATGAGTAATTTCACATGCACAAGATGGAAAAAGGGAGATAAAGAGGTATAAGTGTTTTATGGATTGTTGGTAAAGAACATTATGTATCTTTATTTAAACTGATGACACCCTTTATGCTGATTCTATGTTCTAAATTAACTGCTATCTCCATTACTTTGAATATTTTCATTAAAGATTATACTTCTGATTTCCATGTCCAGCTTAGTGTAGAGCACTTGTGCTCTGTTGGGGAGAGGATTCTCTTCACTTTCCTTACTCCCCACTTCCTAAAATTTATCATCGGATCAACTTTAAATGGTTGAGATTTAATATCTTATAAAAATATTATTGTAATATTAGATAGCAAAATATATATATATATATATATATAAATTTAAAATGTTAAAATTTAACCTGAGCAATTCAGAACTGTATAGGATAAAAGTAAAAACAAATTATTTATAAAATATTTTAATAAAAGTCTACAGCTGTGAATTGTTTAGATCAAATTTTAATAGTTTAAATTTATTTTTTATTTAATATTATAATAATAGTGTTATAAAATATTAAATCTCAACCATGGAAAGTTGATCCAATAGTGGAGATAAGAAGTGGATAGTAACGGAAGTGGAGACAATTCATTCCTTGTAAGAACGTCATCTTCAGTTTGGAGCTATCTCTCTGCTACTTAGATGAAGTGAATGACAATTGCGCATCTGTACTGGCTTCACATCATAATCTCTCCTTCATTTGCAGGCAATTGGTATTGGCTCCTTCTCAGGAACCGCAACTGTTACTTCTGCTGCTGCCATTAGGTGAATATTTGGTCTTAGTGCTTACACTGGCTGTTAATACAAATAAAGCATTTATATTCATACAATAACATGAAACTTATCCCTTTTGCGCAATCATATATTTATTTTACTTCTATACAATTGACTGCATGCTTTTTACTTGTATCTTTAGATGGTTATCAAAGGATGGCATTGGAGCCGTTGGACGGTTACTTATTGGTCTGAAAATGATGAAGGAAGCTAAAGGAAGCAGGATATTATATAATGAAACTTATTTGTAAATATTTTGCTATCTTTTACAGGGGGGAGGTTTGGAAATCTTTTTGATGATGATCCAAAGCAATGGAGAATGTATGCAGACTTAATTGGAAGTGCAGGAAGGTCGATTAACAAGTCTTGTATTATATGGAAATCTGCATATGAGGCCATGTTATTGCTAGACTAAGCCTGCTGATCTCTTATGCAGCATTTTTGATCTGACGACCCAACTATATCCTTCCTATTTCCTTCCTTTGGCATCTGCAGGAAATCTTACTAAGGTACTTCAATTTGCAGGTTTGACATGTTCTATTGTTTAGAAATCAGTGCATATATTGGTGGCAAATTATTTTTCAAAGATAACTGTACCAAAAAGTTTCAAATGAACTGCAATTACAAGTAATTTGACATTCAAACAGGCTGTTGCAAGAGGGCTAAAAGATCCTTCTTTTCGTGTGATTCAAAACCATTTTGCCGTTTCAGGAAATCTAGGAGAGGTAGCAGCAAAGGTATGCTCTTGTAACATTTTTCAAGATACATTCTACTCTCATTTCTGATGGATTTGCTAGTAATGATAAATCTGTAAAACCTTCATAATCGTATTCAAACTGCATTTATATGTCATAGTTTCAAGTTTTACTGTCATTTATCTTAATTCTCCTATTCATATGTATACTCTTGCAACAAGAAAATAATCTTTTAAATGTAGCTAGATTATACCTTGTGAGCTGTGGCTTGTAGGCAACAGCATTAGTGAAATCATAGTTTCGCGAGCTAAAATCTCCGACCATTGTGAAGACAAACAATCATGAAGAACGCAAATGTAAACCCAAAAGATTGGACAACAAAAAATACTTGTAGGAAAATTATTTTGCTAACTTCTGTGTCTGCACTCCATATAGTCTTCAGTCTAAATTGAAGAGACCAGATAAATACATATGCTGGACTCATTACACTACATAATAGATAACCTCTTTGAAGACAATTCAATAGATTGACTTTACATAAACAAGGTAGTAACTTTTTTAAGACTTAACGTGCAATCATGCTAAGATACAATAATATCTTATGCGGACAAGCTAGTGAGTAATCAGATACTAAATAAGATGCAAAATAGAAGACTCTTTGATTGACTAACTCTTGGAATTATTTTGCACAATTATCCTTGGGACATGCTGGCATTAACATTTTCAGCATGCATGGGCTTTGTTTTATTTTTTAAAGCATGGGTTATGATAGTTAACTTCATCCTGAGCACAAATTAGCCCAATCCTGGCCAAGGACAGCCTTAAACTTCAATGAAACTCTTGACTTGCTAAGAATTAGACTGAAGACCTATTTGTATCCTGTTGCACTCATCTGCCACCATTCTATGATTATGATGGTCAATGAACTTTATTTTTTTCTTTTCTGTTCACAACTTAAATAGAGGATTGATACATTTAAATCAAGAAACTTGAAATTCTTTGCCTTTGTTGGAAAATATAGAGCTCTTTTCCAAATTATTTGTTCATCATAATTTCTTAGGAAGAAGTTTGGGAAGTGGTTGCTCAATTGACTGGCCTTGGTTTGGGCATACTGATACTGGTATGGTACACAAGTTTTATATACCACTATGTATTATTGAATTGGCAAGCAAGTTAATACTTTTAACTTTAAGGGTGTCTGAATGCAGGATACACCTGGCCTAGTAAAATCATATTCTGAATTATCTTTGACTTGGATGACTATACGGCTTGTGCATCTTTGGCTACGTTATGAATCCCTTTCTGTCCTCCAATTTAACACAGTAAGTGAAAAAATTATTAAAAGGAAAGGGATATGTTCATATGATGTATTTGTTCAGTGATGTATCTTTTGCATAATTCTTTTCAACAGATAAATCTTAAGCGGGCTCGCATGCTGGTAAAATCACATGTTTTACACTCCACTGTTCCAGGTTGCATTCACAAAATTCAAACATTTTTTGTCTTGGTTATTTCCCTTCACATCGATGCCTAATTTTCTGGACGGGTTTATTTCAGGATGTGTGAATTGTAACAGGGAAGAAAATATTTTAGCGTGGGAAAATTCCATGAAACCAAAAATCATTTTTGGCTTGCCATTGGAGAAGATGGATGGTGTTGAGAAATCTCATTTCATGGTATATTGAATCATTGTCTTTGCTATCTCACAAACTTATGGGCAGAAATCAAGAGCTTCAAAACTATTTTCTATGTTTTAGTTTTTACAAAGCTACAAGGTCATTCTGTTCATTGTTATTTTTCTTAAATATTTATCGTGGATCAGGTAAAGACACTTGTGAAATTATATGCGAATGAGAAGTATATCCTTACTGTGAACCAGCAGCCAGAAGATCTGAGGTTTTATGTTTCTTTTAAGGTACGATTTTAAATTTCCTAGAAGAATTTAAGCAAAAACCCTATTTTCATCCTCAGGATATTGTGCCGTTATCAGCTTAATACTAGATTTTGATATCATTTGAGATCTAAAAATGATTTCATTCCAATTTCGCCCTTCATGGGGCTGTAAAATGATATTCAAGTGGCACCTTCCTTGAATAGATTATGATCCATGTGAATTTTACTTGATTTGCCCCTTTTCCCGTTCCCTACTTTCAAAGTCCTTGTGCCTTCTTTATAACTAAATAAATTTCTCTAGAGTTGAAATAAAACTGTATTTTGGTACTAAAGTAAACATTATGGAGTGTGAAATTGTTAATGGCGATAGCACATCATTTGAAGTCAAAAATAGTTGTTTTGTTATTGGACAATGAAACCTTAATTTTTAACGGATTCAGAATCATGTTGCAGGTTGGAGCAACAAGTGTCTCAGTATTGCGAAGCCTTTGGCAGGCCATCTGGCTAAGTGAGAACTGGGACAGCAAGGGCAATGTTTGTCATCAGCTTACCAATAGCCTAATGGAGTTGAAAGATAGGTTTGAGGATTTTATTCAGAAGCTGAATGGGGCTGGATGGGATACACAACAATTAAATTTGAAGGTTCCCAGAAGAATCTCCATTGATGATATTGACCCTCTTTAGCTCCTGAAATTCTGGTAGTGAGATTAGTTCATCACTGATTTGATCTTGAGAATTGAGGTCCAAGACTTGGATCAGCCAAATGAAACTTGCTTACAGAAGAATTGCAACCAGCAAAAGCAAGCAATATCCCTAATTTTCACACACATTGGTGAATAGAGATGCTTGGCGATTTGGGTGATATTATCTGGACTCGTTGGATACCATATAGTTAGCGAGAAAATGTTAGGTTTATAAAACAAATCAATCATAAAGATGTGTATAAGCATGTCTCGTATAGAACTAGGTTTAACTGGTATGCCTATCATTGACTTGATTTGTAAGTTTCTTTTAGGGCAGATAGCTAAAATTCTCTCTTTAGCAGCTTCATCTTGCAAGCATGTTTGCTTGTAATCCGCAATATGTATTCGTAGTAAAATTTATTGATGGACCTCTTCAAAAGGGTAATGGTACTGAATTCGTAATATTTTAAAATTAAACTTGGAATAAATATTTTCTCCTCATATCTTCAATTCTATTTTCACATGTGTCGTATGAATAAATTTGAATTTAAATAAAATGATATTTGCCTATAATACTCGGAAGAGATGACAATTCATTGTTGATGGGTCATTCCCCCTTTTCTTTTATTAAGTTATGCTTACTTTTTAAAACAAATATAGCATTATATACTGAATTTTTTATTTTCTTTTGGACATATTTAAGAATTAAAGCTTTGCATGTAGATTGACCAAGTTATTAAATGGCCTAAAATACACTTGTATTGATATTCGAACAGCTTTTTACATATACTCTCTTTTCCTTTGAAAGAAAAAATTGAAGATAAAATTGTGGACGAATAATTAATACTCCTTCTATTAAAAAATATAAGAAATTTTTTAAAAAGTTAGATGTTTGAAAATGTAAGGCATTTTTAATTTTTTAAGGTGTAATCATTGTTTTTTTTCACAAGTGCCCCTATTAATAGTGACTTTATATTTATTATAGGGTGTTTAATAGAGATAAATATAGAAAGATAAAGTTAGTTTGAAAGTAAATAATTATTTTATTAGGAAGTAGATTCAGTTAAAAATGTCTTACATTTTTTAATGGAGGAGTACTTTTTTAGAATTTTAAAGTGACCATTACTGTTTTTTGAAGAAAAGTAAAACTTTAATTGACAAATATTTTAAAAGGCATGGAAAAGAATTTTGTATTCACGTATTTCTTCGATAATAAAAAATCCTTTATTATTCCCCCACAGGCCACACCACACCAAGAGAGGTTACATTAACTAATGCACATATATTATTATCATTATTTTAAGTTAGGTGTTGAAATTACTGGACGAACAGATGTGAAGTCTTAATCTAATTCTCAATCATAGTTAAATGGAGTTAGTCATTCAGTAATTATCGATTTTAAAGGACCCTTTTTCTTTAATTAATAATGAAAATGTGACCACAATTATTATTCATATGTGACCGCGCAGAGAGAGAGAGAGAGAGAGAGAGAGAGAGAGAGAGAGAGAGAGAGAGAGAGAGAGAGAGAGAGAGAGAGAGAGAGAGAGAGAGAGAGAGAGAGCCTTTCATATTTAGTTTAGTACAAGTCTTGATGTATTATATTAAATAAAATGGTTATATTTCATAGAAAACCACATCCAATGAAAGTAGTATCGTGAGTGGCGTTCTAAACTATTTTCGTACTATTTAAAAAAATAATAATTTTTGCATGTAACCAGAAAGAAAGATTATCTTCGAATCTGACCCAAAAAAAAAAATTAAGGATGTCAATTTTGTAACTTTTTTAAGATGTAATAGTAATTTGTGACATGTTCATAGCCAAAACATACGAGTCATGAGGATCAAGACATGCAGACCGAGTAAGGTGGCACAAAACAAAATTTTTACTTCCCACTATACAATTAATTATGCAATATTTTATTATAATCTAAGCTGAGTTTAATTTGTTTTATTCCTAAAAAATGAATTTAAATAACCTTCCAAATTGTATGACTGCGAATACTTTAATCTTTTCATATAGAAAAATACGATGTAATGATTCATGGCCACAAAATTTTTTTTTTTAAATAGAAGTCGTGCATAATGAGACAAATATAGGGCAGAAAACTGAGTAGAACATATTCATTTCAATCTTGCCTCAAATTTAAACATTCTCATTTTTTAAAATTAGTCACATATATAATCACCATTCAACCATATAATAAGTATTTGCCAAGTTGGTAAAAAAAAAAATCGTGGAATGAGTTACGCAGAAGATTTATGGTTGGAATAGGACATACCAAAATTGTTATCCCTATTATTAATTGAATTCAGAGTAGTTAAACTCATATTATGTATTTATTACTTTTTAGATAATCTAACTTTTAGTTCTTATAGTTATATTTAATCTCAATAATCAGTTTAATTCTTAAAATTTGACCCATTACAACTTAATACTTGTTTTTATTTCAATTTATATCTGACAAAAATTTATTGGGAGGATTGCAAAATTACATCTCAAATATAATTTGAATGTACTTTTAAAAAAAATACTCAAACAGACCTTTACTCTTTGTGGTTTATTAAGTTAAAGAATCATAAAAACTGAATTTTATTAAATCATAAAATTCTAAAAATTTGGTTGTTTCAAATAAAAAACTACTAAGGATTGAATTATTTCAAATTAAAGTTTAGAAACTAAATTAATAATTGAGAAAAAAATTTATAAGTTACATTTTCACTAAGCATATATTACTATATACAGAAACCATTTTGAAATATTGATAAACAATAGAATAAATGAATAAATATGGGGTATATATATTGAAAATATTGAGATGAGATATAACAAGGTTTAAGATTTCGTTTTTGGACTAAGAGACATGGCCTGATCATTATTTTCAGTATAATCTTATATTTTCTGAAGGAAAAATGTGGCACCAAGTGTCCGCGACGGTCGTTGATTGGCTAATCAAGCGGAGCGGGAAAGGGACAAATCCGTAATTTCGGTGATCTTACTTGCCCAAGAGTCCGAGAAAATATATTTGGAAGCATGACAATGGAACTGACAATGTGTGTGTGAGAAGGAGTTACGTGTGCTCCAAGCGAAAACCCAGCAAAAACCCTCCCACTTTCTCTCCACTGTTCGAAACCTACCCTTCTCAAAAACCCTCTCAATTTATATTTTTCTCGTCCAAATTCGTTTCACTTCCCTGATTTCGATTCTCTCCTACTCTTTTTCTTATTACTTAGAATTTAGTAAGTCGAGGGGTATCGTGTCGGATCACAAAAGTTATTATGGGTTTTATCAGTTTCCTTTGAGAATCTCAGTTGCTTTTTTGTTGAGTTGTTGAATGGGTTTTTCCCAAGAAAGACGAAGAAAACAAAGGCGGAGGTCTTTCAAGGATTCCCTTAAAGCTCTTGAAGCTGATATCCAATTCGCCAATGCCCTGTAACTCACTCACTCTAGTTCTGTCTCTTTGCCCACTTCACAGGATGCACACCGGTCCAAAATATTACTTCTTTTTCTTTTTCCCCCTTTCTAGGATTGTGAGGAACATTATACATGATCATTTGCAAATAAAATTTGTGGCTTATGATTGTTGAAGACCTTGGACAGAGCTGTTTTAGTATGAAGTCTTTTCTGCATTAATGTATTATTTTGGTCTGTTTATCCAATTTGCAGAATTTTTGAAATTTCATCAGTATGTCTGTCTGTTTAAGTCTGCTCAGTTGATCCTATTATGTGATGTTTTTCCATGGTGTGCGAAGTTTTAACTTTTTGTGAAGATAATTGCGATTTACCTTTATGGCATTTCTCTATTAATTGCTAGCAGCTTTTGTGCATAGTTCAACGCCACTGCTGACTTTCAATCCCACTTGTGCTTTGATATTCTGCACGTATTTGTATATGCCTAAATCCTACTTTTTGAGACTTGTATCTGTGGTGGATTGCATTAACATGAGATATGACACGCTTTTTTAAATTTGTGTTCTGTGAAGTCAATCACTATTCACTAATAAACTTCATGTTCCTTCTGCAATGTTTCAAATTCGATGATTTACTTTTCTCAAAAGAATGAGGAAAAACTTTCTCGTATTGATACTTTTATCTCGCATGCGATTCGTTGCACAAAATATGCTTTGATGCAGAGCTTCTGATTATCCAAGAGACTTTGATGGTGCTTGCCTCCAAATGAGATTATCCTACAGTCCAGCCGCTCAATTTCTCCTTGTACTTTTTCAGTGGACTGATTGCCACCTTGCTGGAGCCTTTGGATTGCTTAGAATTCTGGTATACAAGGTGTATCTCCTCTCCCTTGACTCTTCATCCATCGACAATTTAAATGTCTTAAAAGCTTTGAACAGCTTGGAACATAATATATAACCCTTCATCTAACATCATAATTTGGGCCGGTATACAGCTGATTTACATCAAGCTTGTGATAAATTTTGAATTTTTGTCAGGCATATGATAATGGGAAGACCACAATGACTGTTTATGAAAGAAAAGCAAGTCTGAAGGAGTTCTATGGTATGTGGACTCTTATATCAAATTACAAGTGTCGATAGCTAGAAACCGAACTAGTTATTTTAATTTTCTCGTGGGTTTGTCTGGGAGTTGAGGGGAGAAGAGAGGAAAGGGACGTTGAAATGGTAATTTTCCCTTCTCGTTGTCTGGGGATATTAACTTAAAAAATGAAGTGAAAATTGGAAAATTTTGGAAGGTTGGTTGAAAATCCGTCATCATCTTCCCCTCTTTATTAATAATAACACTCTCAAACAAGGGAAAATCTTTCAATTTAACTTTCCTTTCCCTCGCCTTTCCCTCCATTATTCTGAATTTTAAGGTGCCCTTGAGGATGTGCTTCACAATCCAGAGGTAATTGGTTTTGAACTCTTTCAAAACAGGTGTAATCTTTCCCTCCTTATTGCAACTACAAAGAGGGATCACTGATGCTGAAGACAGGCGACAAAAAGATTTATGTGCTACAAAGTATAAGTCGGTAGAAGCGATGAACAAACGAGAGATGTCTGAAATTGACATAGAGGGAGAAAATGAATGCGACATTTGCATGGAGATGAACAGAAGGGTTGTGTTGCCTGTCTGCAGCCACTCAATGTGCATGAAATGTTACCGAGACTGGTGAGCAAATTGTGACAACAATTCAGTGCTTGTATCATCATATGATGCATTATATGTTTCTCGCCCAAACTTTGCTTTAACTGGAGATGGGTTGGGTAGAATAATTCTAAGGATAAATTGGTAATGAAGACAAAACAGTTGAATTAAAAGAATGGATGTAATTGGAGTATTACTCTATAAGATCCAAGGTTGATCTAAGGTTGGCTATGTTCTTCAACTCTCCACAGATTAGGACTAATGGCACTTGGCATATGCAGTGTGATAGGTTTAGGAAATAATGTTACGCACTGGCTGTGACTATAGTTTTTGGTTTTGTGGTAAACTTTTGATCTTGACATGATTTTATCCTAGGAGAAATGTAGGCCATGGCTTTTGTCTGTGAGTAGTGGAAATTATATGGTGAAGATACTTTTCTGGCTTTATATTTAGGTTTCCCTTAAAAAAAGGAAAGGAAAGGAAAGGAAAGGAAAAGAGGTTATTAGCTGATGCTCTTAGGTATGTCAGCTTACAAGGTCACTGCTATTGCCATTGATTATTTCTGAGTTAGAGAATATAATGAAAACTATTTTGAGTTGAAATGATCCTTCAACTTGCATGTGATGATCTATTTTCTGTGGTTGGTTTAGGCGAGCACGATCTCAGTCTTGCCCGTTCTGCCGGGGAAATCTGACGAGAGTTAACTCAGGTGACCTTTGGATCTACGTGAGCAGCAATGATATCGAGGACTTAGATTCAATTATCAAGGAGAATGTAAATAGGCTATTTATGTACATTGAGAAGTTGCCGCGCCTAGTTCCAGATCCTAGTTTCGCATCTTATCTTCAGCATTGGTGAGTGGCTGGAGCAGCTCATATGTGGTTTCCTTTCGCATTTCAAATAGGGTTTTTCCCATTTGGTTTCAATTAGTGTCAAGTTTTAGAGTCCATGCTTAGCATCCTCCTATTCATTTACTTGCAGTGAAGTTAGATGATAAATTGATATGCCAATTTAGGTTGGTGAGTGACTATTGAATTTTTTTTTCCCATAAAGAAATATCTATTCATATATTGGCTTCTTAATTATTACAATATTCTTGTGGCGAAATGATTCATAACTTTTCATGTGATTGTCAGTCATATGACTGATGATTCAATTTGTGTCGTACGCATGTTGCTTGATGAAGTATCCAGTTTTCACTCCCAAAAAAAAAACAAAAACTTTAAGAAAGTAAAAAATGGAAATAAAGGGAAAGGGTCAAATTGGAGGGAACCACGCATATTTACGAAAGTTGTGCTGTTAAGTAATAGTAAATTGTGCCTTTTTAATAATTTTTATTTCTTCCATTTAAAAATATAAGGCATTTTTTAAGGAGTTGGATGTTAAAATATGTAAGACATTTTTAGTATTTTGAGGTGTAATTATTGCTTTTTTTTTTAAAGTATCTCTATTGATAATGACTTTATATTTGTTATAGGATGTTTAATAGAGGTAGATATAAAAAGATAAGGTTAGTTTGAAAGTAGATAACTACTTTATTGAGGATGAGATTCGATTAAAAATATCTTATATTTTTAAGTGGAGGGAGTATATTTTGTATAATTAGTTTCTTATCTTTTTATTTATAGGTTATTTTGTAAAATTTATGTAATATAAAATAATTGAGGGGTACTGTATAATTTTTGTGGTGTCTTATATCCTAATTGAGATGTTAATTGAACCAAATATTTAAATTTGTTTAAGTTTTTCGGATGGTTTAGATTTTAATTTTTTTTATTTTGGAGAAGTAAAATAGAAAATAAAAATAGTTTAAAACATTTTGAAAATAAATTCTTGAATTAAAATTTAATAATTGGCCAAAAAAATTAAAATTTAATAAAAACATAAATTCCTCGTTCTGCAAATCAAATATATAAATTATTTAATTTGAAAACTTGAATCATGTCATGCAATCAGATCAGAAATTGTTAAAAGATATATTTGGGCAATAAATAATGATGCACTATTTAAAAATGCAAGGAGACTATGTATAAAAGTTTGTTCAAAGAACCAAAATTAAAACATCATTAAGTTTAAAGAATTAAAAATCTGCTGAATGCATGATAATTTTTTTAATCAAATAATATAACTGTTACTTTCATTAAAAAATATAAGATATTTTTCATTGAATGTCCAAATTTCATTCTCAATAAATTATTTTATTATTTTTAAATTGATATCATCTTTTTATATTTTTATTTATTTATAAGATATTTCATTTAAACATGAAGGACTAACTTATTAAAGATATTTTTAAAAAATTAATTAATTATACCTTAACAAAGTAAAAATATCTTGTAATTTTTAATATCTAATCACAGAAAAATTGGCTAACATCGGAAATAATATTTCTCTCCCTCTCTCTCTCTTAAAAAATGTCAAAAAAAAAATTGATAGATATTTTAAAATATAAAGTATTTTTAATATTTTAAAATATAATTAATGTGTTTTTTTAAAGGTATTGATAATAAATAAATTAATGTATATTTATTTTAAAATAAAATGTTATATTAAATAAGGTTAAATACAAAATATAATATTAGTGAAGACGAGTAATTACGAAAATAAAATTATATTAAAAATGTTTTACATTTTGAGCATTTATTTATTTTAATGGCGGCTGTGCGATCTGTTCCCACTTCCCAAATCGTCGTCACCGTTCATTTTGATTGTGGAGCGAATAAGCAAGAAGGGGTCCTACCATCTGCGTTTTGTAAGGTGGTACTGTTTTGAAGAACATGGCCGTCGTTGGAGTCCTTGCTTTACAGGGATCTTTCAACGAACACATAGCAGGTAAGCTTTGTTCTTTTCACTCTCTCTCAATCTCTGTTTGTGTAAAACCACAAGTCTATGACAATATAGCTCTTTGCAAGCTAATTTTTTTTTTTTTAACTTTTTTCTGATTTAATTTTCCCATCCATGGCAGCCCTTAGGAGGATAGGAGTGAAAGGGATCGAGATTAGGAAGCCAGAGCAGCTTCGCGATGTCACTTCCCTCATCATTCCTGGAGGAGAGAGCACCACCATGGCTAAGCTCGCTGAGCTCCATAACCTGGTCTCTTGTTACTCCTTAATTTAATGCAGTTGGCTATTGCTTCTACGCTCTATAACTGTGTTTTCTTAGCTGCTATCAAGCGGTATTACTTGTACAAGATGAACTTATACTGTGCCTGGTGTTGTATGATACACGGAGCTCACGCTTGTTAAATTGCAACTTTATGCTATTTGTTTGTGGTGTAAAATAATTACGCAAGAAAGAGAAGTACGCTCTTACTCTCTTTAAACCTTTTGGTTCGGATACTTCATTTCATATTTATGTATCGTGAATCGTGATAGTTAGCCGTTAATTGACTAAGTTGAAGTAAGACTCTATTCTTGAAATAACCTGATTTCATGAGTGAGTTTGTTTTCTTCTAGGTTTTCTTGAAAACAAATTTTCACCAAGGAAACAGATAGAAAGAGATAAAATCTTTAGTAATTGCGCGTGGCATGGGTTTTGACTTTTGAGATATGTCAGTTTCTATGTTGAAATTGAGTGAAGCTTTTTCTCTCCTGAGGGAATATTGTCCTCATTCAATCATACTAATGGACTATTTACAGGATAGAATAGACTAATTTATGCTTCTGGGAACTAGTTGAAGACTAAGGGCCTTGTAATTTATGTTGAGTGTTTCAATTTATCAGTTTCCTGCACTGAGAGAGTTTGTTAAAATGGGAAGACCTGTTTGGGGAACCTGTGCAGGGCTTATATTCTTGGCAGATAAAGCAACAGGTGAATTTTGTTCTCTTTCCTCCCTTTCTTCAACTATGTTGAATTTTGAGAAATTTTAGTGTTTTCTTTTTTATTTACTTATCTATAAAGGCATATAAAAGCAATTTTAAAAAATAAATGCTGAACATTATTTCAGGACAGAAGACTGGCGGACAACAACTAATTGGAGGACTTGATTGCACTGTCCATAGAAATTTCTTTGGCAGCCAGGTGATGTCTTAAAGGATATTGAACTATTGATAATTAAACATTCATAAATAGAAGCAAATGGTGAATAAATCTACTAAGGGACATTGGACATGAAACTTCTCATGTATTGCATTGAGCAGAGCGAAACGTTTGCGTCAGCACTCTTCAGAATGACCTTTCCTTTAACATGTAAACATCTTATATTGGTGCCAAGTACCTCCTTTTTATGTGTTATATTGTCCCCAAAAAATTAAAATTTTACATAGATAGTATATTGGGGCTATAAGATGATAGCTACAACAGATAAAATAGGCGTGCAATAACATCTTATGAATCGTTATTTATTCTCACTTTCTCTCCCCTTCCCCCTGCCACCTATTCTTGTTTCATTTCTTTTTTTTTTTTATTGGTTATCATCATTTCTAAAACAGTTTATCCAAGTTTCTGTTGAAGAAAAGAAAGTTCAAATTGAGCTTTTTTTTTCCAAATAGAGGTTTTCTTTTTCTTAGGCCAGATTTTTCCAAATAGAGCCGATTTCAGCAAAATGTGCAGGGCTATATGTATGCTCTTCATAGTTTTGGTCTCATCTAACCAGAATCCATGTCAATTCAGATTCAAAGCTTTGAAGCCAAGCTTTCTGTACCAGAGCTTGCATCCAAAGAAGGTGGCCCCGAAACATTTCGTGGAATATTTATTCGTGCTCCGGCAATCCTTGAAGTAGGGCCAGAAGTTCAAATACTGGCTGATTTCCCTGTCCCTTCTAAGAGATTGTTGGGTTCAGATCTCTCTCTTGAAGATCAAAAGGTTGGTAATTCCGTGTTTTTCCAGAGAGATTTCGACTTGCTGTATTATAGACGTCAGGTCAAAGGGTTGCAATGTTTGTGATTACTTATTTATTTTGATTCTTCTAATTAACTAGTTGAAGGTTTATATTATTTGTGAAGTTATTCTCTCACGTTATATAGTACAAAGATTGAACCCAAATGGATGGACCTTGCTTACCAGTCCAGATCCTCTGCATTTAGTGAAAAAAAAAAAAAATAATGGGTGCTGAAGGAGAAAGAGAAAGTGAGAGCTTCCAACATCAGAAGCAGCTTGTAATGTTGGAAACTTCAGTCTGCACTGTGAAGCTGTTCTGTATAACATTTAAGAATAGATGATACAGATACCGCAAACCACAGTAAACCATGTAAACAACAACAAGAAGCTTTATTCCACTAAGTGAAGTCACTAGACCATGTAATGTTTCAACATAATATGAATCGAGTTTTCACATCTACTGTGGCTGCCAGACCTGCATTGAATACAATACAGTTCCTTTTTCAAGTTTTGGTGCTTCACATATACCGCATGCCACCTGAACTGTTTAAAATGCATTGGTTTAACTTTATTTTCCAGTTTTCTTATTAGTTATGGATATGGCAGGAGAATGTTGAGGGAGAAGGTAAAGTTATAGTTGCTGTTAGACAAGGGAACATGCTAGGGACAGCTTTCCATCCTGAATTAACAGCAGATACACGATGGTACGTATTAAATATTCTTATTTGGTTAATTTTTCTACGTGAATACCTAAATTCTGTTCTTTTTAAATTGCAATTTCGTTCTTAACATCGAATTTTGCAGGCATAGTTACTTCTTAAAGATGGGAGATGAAGCTACAGATGAGGCCTCAAGTAGTTGTGTCCCAGTTGAAGTGAATGTTTGTTATAAACAGCCGCCACAGAATGACCTTCCTATCTTTCAGTAGGGCCAAAAAAAAAAAAAAATTGGCAAAGCCTATCTTAGTGTTTTTGGATGAAATTGTTTTATCTCGATCTTTCTTATTTTTCCTTTGAAATTGTTAGATCTGGTAGGCATTGATAGCTGAATAACAATGTTACTCTCTCTTCTGTGACTAGTCTTGTCTGCTTCATATTGCTCGTTCCTGTTTAAAGTGAAACCATATTGATTGTACCTTGAATCTAAAAAAGAATCAAAAGGTATTCCCTTCTGTTTCGTTTTGTTTGATTTGTGGGTGATCTTAACTAATTATATTGTAGATGCGTGTTAAACAATTAATCTCTCTACGCCGAAACGGTGAATCACATAACAATTTGAGTTAAAAGTTTTTCCATTCACTAATCAAGTTATGGCTAGCTTAGATTTGGATTAAATGAAAAATATTTCTTGTGTTAATCTAGCCATGTAAATGATTGCTTAAACAAAAAAATCATGGAAATATTATGAGTTGAGAATTTGGTAGCGTTTAATTTGAATTTACAATTCTGGATAGTTGTAACTTTTTATATTCACACGCTGATGAAAATATTTTTAATGAAATTAGCTACTTCTTAACAATTCAAGAATTATTATTGGCCCCAAAATACTGGCGTAACGGGTGCAAATTAATTGTCAAATTTTCACATTTCATTTTATTTTTTGACTCTATTAGGTTATATTCGATGTAACATTTTGAGTTCTTAAATATTACTCATGAAAATAAATTTAAAAATGAGATGATTCCTGATTTGGCTGAAAATTGAGAATTTACTTTCAAAATTTCTGAATTATTTATAACCTTATTTTCAAATAATGACTACAAGGGAAAAGCTAAGAAGGGACGGTTTGAAAAGCCAAGACAGAGAAGGTATTCCAATTTCTGTATTGTATATCTGCCACAAGCATTTTACAGAACTACTTGGTTAAACTTCAACTTTCATTCATACCAAGTTCTTTACGTGCAAAATACATTGACATTTTGGCTACATAAGTAAGCACCGATTTGATAATCTAAAAGAAAACTATGGTGCTTTTAAGCCAACACTTTTCTACTAAGAAATGTTGAACTTAAGCACAAGAACTAACATATAGTAGCGCAGTAATTAGCGAACATGAACTGCTATGTAGTAGCCTCCTAACAAAAGAGACATCATGAACTAAGCTGTGAGCACCATTCTCAGTCATCCTCTTCATCGTCCCCGTCTTCATCATTCTCTTCTTCATCCTCCTCTTCTTGGTGCGTTTCCTATATGACAAAGAAAAGTATTAGAAGAAAAATGAAACGTTGAAATTTTTTATCATCAGAACACGTCCACGCTTTCTCCTTCTAATACATATAAATCCAGCATCAACAGCATTTATGTCCCCAATGAACTATTTCTCTATTTAGTAGACAATTACACATGAAATTGAAAAGCAAACTCCAAGACCGCATATTTCTACTTTACAAAACCCTGTTAGTTGAGTTAACCAGAGAGCCAAAAATATAGAAAATGTAGAGTAACGCACATACATGAGAATCACAAGGTTCAATAGAAATTCACTGCATGTGAAACAGCATTTACCATCAATTTATATTATGACTGTTGGAGACAAAGGCCACGGATCAAAGTACAACCTTTCCAGATAATAAACACATTAATGCATGCTGACAATTTCCCGTTCAACCAGTAGTTAATCAAATTTTAATACATTTAGAATTAATATATATATATATAATAAATTATAATATACATAAAAAAGAATCAAAAGGTTAGGTAAATCCATCATTCAAGAAACACCATTATAATATAAGATAGTAAAATAACTCCCTGATGATGTTTTTTTTTCTTTCTATTTCCCTTAACAACTCTGAGTAGCAGCCGTAAATAATTTACCAAGTCTTTTCTTATCACAAGCTGAGGAAAAATTCATGATAGAACAAAGAACACGTGCAAAATAAATAATTGAACAGAATTTTTTGTTTCTTTCTTTGTGGGGAGGTGGGGTAAAGGAAAACGGTGAGGTTGGATTTGGATCATCTCATGTGAAGGGAAAATATTGTGTCATAGTGCCATGTGATGAGAGAGATAGACACAAACTTACTTGAGTAGTGGACCCCACTTGAATAGTGGACCCCAACATACGTGAGTTACATATATTGTGTCTATCTCTTTTCTCACACAACAATATCATGTTATTCCTTCAAATGAGAGAATCCAGATCTGGTGAGGCTACCTCTCCACTGGCTTCATCCTCTTCATCATTCACTTCAGACTTCGACTTATCTGATTCTCCTGAGTTTGTCTGGTCAAAACAAACAAATAGAAAGCAAATGGGATAAAGAAGACAATCAAAGAACTAGATAACAAAACAACAGGCACAGGTTGCTCACCTGCTTTTTATTATATGCCTTCATGAGTTTTTCAAACTCAGATTTCTTTTTTACAGCCTTGGCTTCATATGGAGCTTTCTCCTTCAGACCCAACAGATAAGTCAGAACAAGAGTGCAGGAACAGGATTCATCGATTCAACTGAGGCAGCTAAAGCTAATAACCTATATGATACTATGATTATTGTTTAAAGGGAAAACACAATTACTGTCCTTATAGTTTCATTGAGTTTTATTTTTAATCCCTATAGTTTTTTTCAATGTTTTCAGCCTCTGTAGTTTCAAAAAAATTGGATAATGTTTGCTTTTCAGGTCCCTATAATTTCAGTGTTTTTTAGTCCTTATAAAGATTGAAAATATTAAAAAAGATTATAGAGATTAAAAGCAAAATCCGATGAAACTATAACAATAAAAAATTATGTTTTCCTTTGTTTAAATATATAACAAATAAAAAAGGTTAAAAATATAATATTATGAAGCCAAGATTGAAGTGCTTACAGCAGTGGTCATAGATTTCCATTTCTCTCCTCCAGCTTTCCCCACCTTCAATCAAAAAGCACGGTAAGCAAGTTGAATGATTATTCAAAACAAAAATAAAAAATCAGCATACAAGATGAAGCAACTTGGCATGAAACTTACAGCTGATACAGCCTTCACATTAGGATTTTCTGCCTTAAAGGCCTTTCTGAATTCCTCACTATCACACAGAATAGTAGACGAGTCTGAAAATTTTTCTAAAGGAGCTACTAGATAAAGGGAGAAAGCCAAAAGATACCAACAGGAAGACAAAAAAAGCACTGGGCGGTCTTTTTGGTTTGTTGGGATCTTTCTTGGCATTCCTCGCCTTCTTGGTCATTTTTGCACTGCTCTTGTCAGCCTTTAGAGCAGCAGCCTTTCGCTTGCCAGCCATTCTGAAAATATCAAGCAAAGATACATCCCATCATGACTACACTAGAATTTTTTGGAATAAGAAAATTATCAGAAGTCAACGCCCTTAAGGACAAGGAGACATAAAGTTATAAGAAAAATAAAAATACCACAAATTCTTTCAAAATAGATGTAACGATACATGCACTAACCGATCATCAACTGCTCCCTTCCCCTTGCTGTTTTTCATAGTTAAAATTCCTGGTATTAATACAGTCTACAGTTGAAAAGAACAAAAGAGATCAGAAATTCCCAGTGAAAAGAGAAAAGTGAACAGATAGATAGCACTGGAGGTAGCAGGACAGCATCAAAATCAGCTCAATTGATAAAACAGGGTCCCAATAAAACTCAAGTAGATGCACCACAATAAGTCAAATATATACCTAGCAACCCATCTATATGGAAAAATTCGTTTTTTTTTTTTAAGTACTTCGTGTAAAACCAGCCAAAGCAACAGAATAATTCAGAGTTTTATACACACATTTCTATGTTACTTCTCATCGAAACTCAGAAAACACATAATGAGAAAATCCACAAACTGAAGAATGACAATCAACCACAATAAGGACTGATCAATTATCAATTCAGGCACTTGAGGTGATGGGGAATAAAAATAAATGTACATTTAGTGGCCCTTGCCAACCTTAAGCGCCAGAGTAAACAGATATAAACGAAAAATAGAAAACCCTTGCAAGCCCACAAACCATTAAACATAGTTTAAGTTTCTCTCTACTCATACATCAACATTTTATTTTCAAATCCTTCCCTTAAAAAAAATAAATAAACAAATCTCTTAAATCAAAGAATACAGCTCCGAATTAGGCCGAGGCATGAATGTTGAAGAGATTATGGAAGAAAAAGGTTACCTAGGAACGAAAGACCAGAGGAACTATCACGCGAAAGCGAAGAGCACCAAAGAAAAAAATGAGGGAGAATTTGGGCGGGTACACTGCCGAAATGGGGCACCCAAAAAAACACCCAAAAAAAAAAAAGGTCGACTGGGTAACCCGTGAAATTGACGAATCAACCGGACCAGAGCCGGTGAGGAGTTGGCTTCTCTTTATTTTTTTTTTATTTTTTCTATATTTTTTATCTCAATTATTAAATTTATTTTTGAATGGTTAAAATTTAATATTTTATAAAATTATTATTATATTTATTTTTATAAAATGTTGCATTTTAATAATAATTTTATAAAATATCAAATCTCAACTATTCAAAAATAGATTCAATGGTTGAGATGAGAAGTGAAGAGAAAATGAAGAGGAAAGAAAATAAAGAGAAGCCAACTCCAATCGGTGACACGTGACAATTTGAGACGCACAAGTCTTTTAGCATGTGTTTGAATTAAAAACTTTATAATTGACATTAAGATTTAATTGGAGTTAGTAAAATGAGGTTGGCAAAAAATCAATTAATATAATGTAATTTATATTTAGATATATTTTTTTTTAAAGTCAACTACTTGCACTAAAATTTGATTATATAATTTAATTTGAAAATTAGTTGAGATATTTAATAATAAAAATAAGCATAAATTTTTATTATATATTATTGATTAATTAATAAATAAAAAATAATAAACTTAAAATTATAATTAATGACTGAAAAATCTTAAATATTCAATTATAAAAGCATAAAATAAATTCATAAATTAAAAAATATTTAATTGATATTATATATAAGTTTATCTCTAATTATATTATAAATATGATACATTTGCCTTGACAATTCAAATAAATTTGATGAGAATGTCTCACCAGTATTGGTATCTTACTTATGGAATTATTTTATGATAATTGAAATTTATTAAATAATTATTTAAAAGATAATTTATCAAAATGAGTTAAGTTTTAAAAAATAATTGTAACAAAAATGGTGGTGGTGATGGTAAGTAGGATTAAAAAATAATTTATTTTTCCACTAAAAAATATTTTTAATCACCTAAATATTGAGAGTTATGTTTACAAGTGAAGTTTACTCCTTTGCATTTTATGGGAGCATTAAGAAATGACAGAAAATTATAAAAAAAATTAATTTGATTATTTATGAAATCATGGAATATTATTTTTAAAATCATGTAAGAATTATATATTAAAAATAGAAAATTAAGAGAAGAAAATTAAAAAAGAAGTGGAAAAAATGGCAGGACCCACTATATTGCTCCCTTCAATTATAGTTAATTTTTTTTCTATCCAAATATGATAAATTGAACTTTTAAAATTCCAACTTAAGTCAGGATTTAATCCAAACATGCACTTATTTTCTTGAAAAAACAACAATCAAGCACCCTTGTATTAAATCTATATCAATCAAAGATTAATTATTATTAAAATTTAATTGAATACTTGTTAATTCAGGTTAGCTTTTTATTAAAAAATATCTATTTAAATTTTAACAATAACTCATTCTAAATTAATAATAATTTATTTAAGCTTATTTACTAACAAATGTAAGTTTGATAACAATCAATCTCACATCAATATTTAATTGGACCCACAGTGAATAGCAATGGCATTAACAAAAAGATAATGGTAAGGTTTAATTTATCACAAATTTAAAAGTTTATGGTTTATTTTGTATATTTTAAAAATTCAAGGTTTAAAACGCTTTTCAGGCAATACTTCAAGATTCATTTTGTTTATTTACCCTAAAATTAATCATTTGCTTTGTATAACTTTGATTTGATTAAAATTTAATTTTAAATTTTGATCAAATGCAATTTAATTTTTTTAATTTTAAATCAATTAAAACCAAATCCATAAATTTTTATTTTTACAACACTGTCTTTGTAATTTTAAAATTTATTTATTTAAAATGTTGATCTATATATTTTTAAAATAAATTATAAAAAATCTAGTTATCATTCAATATTAAGAATTTTTTTAAATGATTGATATTATAAAAAGTGGGTTATATTTAAAGTTTAGAGAGCTTGACATATAATTAAATTAAAATATAAAAATTTAGTTGTACCAAGTTAAAATTTAAAAGCTAAATCAAATTAAAAATATTAGGATTAATTGATTAATTTTTTTATTAAAATATTAAATAAGCAAACTATACATAAATTTGTTAAAAATTTAATTAATTGATTGTATAATTTTTGGGAAGATACTTTTTCGTGAAGCGTGATTATTTATACCAATCAACCCCTAAATTTTTGGCCAAACAAAAATTCTTAATCAATTTTGGGCCAACGGAACCGAACGATTAGGGCTGTGTTGGTTTGATAAATCGAAAAACTGGGCTTGGTAAACTTAATGGGCCTGCTTGGCCATGGTGACCCCTATAATACTAATGGCTAGACCCAATGACAACCTTATTGTTTTCATCCTTTGTTATTTTTTAACTTGAAATGAACATATATCATCATATTTTCACTCAGACCCTACTAACATGTGTTTGTAAATGCAGACCATTAGACAAAATTAATCGAAATTAAACAAATATTTCAAGTGTTAGTGAAGTGTGGATACAGATCTATGATCCAAAATTCGAACTGCAACAAAAACAATTTTTATAGAAAATGCTGTAAAAGGAAGTCTAAAAAAAAAAACTACCTTAAATAGATTTGGAAATTGGAATGCTGCACCACTGCCAGATTTTCCTTTTCTTTTCTTATTTTGCTATTTTTTACAAGAAAATGCCCTATTTTCTTTCTTATAAGGCAAAAAAAGCCTTCCTTCATTTTGTATAGATAAAAAACATTAAAATGTTTGAAGAAAAAAGTTTATAAACAAATCATAGGGTGTTTCGACAAAAGGGGAATTTGATCTTCTGAAAGGTTTATGGTTATTGGGCTGTTGGCCAACATAAGAATATATTCATAAATTAGATACTTAAAATATTAACAAAATTTGAGTCACTATTTAAAAAGATGTCTATAAGATGATATTTATGAACAATAAAAAAATTAATATAATATTAAAACTCTAACAAAAATTTACCGAGCTATGTAAAAAAGAATCGCACGTCTTCTTTACATAGGACTTTCAGTGTACAGTTCTCATTTACTTATTAAAAAATGTGCAATTAATTTTTTCAAAATTGTCTTTTGGGGTAAAAATCTGGTTGAATCTGAATGTGAGGGGGGAAAAAAATGATCAAACAATTACATAATCAAGTGCAGTGTTATGAAACCTTGAAACATTCCAAGAAAATAAAATAAAAAAAGAAGAGGAAAAGAGACCTTTTTTTGTAGATATAATCTTTATTTTTTTTTGCCAAAACTTTTGTAGATATAATCGGAGATACTTTATTTGAAAGTTGATAAAATTGAATGCAAAAAGAGGCATTATTAAATAAGGGGTCCTCCATGCTGCTGCAAAAATTGTGGCTTCACATGAGCCATGTGCAACAGAATATCGTGATCATCGTGATCGCCGAGCACTCCAGATTTTCAAAAGTTCCTGATCCCATGTGGTGGGGTCCACGTGATATGCTTGGGCTGGGCTTCCTCAACTCCACGTGGCAATACTCTACAGTTTGGTGATTTGATCTCTTCCTTTTTAAATTACTAGTATTTTACTATTTTATTTAGCTCCTCTCGCATGTAGGTGAACGAGTTATTTGTTTAAATTAATTATTTTAAAAAAATAATTTCCCTCACCATGAAGAAAAAAAAAATAGTTCGCAAAAATAAAAGCATAAAAAAATCAAATTTAATTGAAGCTAAGTTTACAATTTGTTTTATAAAAATTGATTATGATAAAAAAAAAGGCCGTATGTATTTTCTTTTACCCCGCTTTGTATGATTTTAGTTTTTGTGACAACAATTTTTTTAATTGAGTCTAAGTGCTTCAAATTTTTTTTTTTTTAACTTTTTCATCAATGGTAAGGATTTGAAAAGTACTCTTAATTTGGTTGAAGAACGCCTAGCTACTATCATGATTTTGAGAGATATTAACAAGCTGCTTCATCTCTTTAAATTCTCCTGGTTGGAATTATTGCTGAATCATTGAAAAAATTGGTGGATTAAAAAAATATAAATTAAATGGTGATACCTAATAAACAATTTGTATAGAATTGGGATAGTATGGGATTCAGTATCTAAAATTTATCCCAACTAACAATTTAGTTACTAAATTAATAAATTTTGACTCAATACAATTTAATTTTTATAGTTTATTGGATATTTAAATTAAATTGTTCTGAATTTATATATATATATATATATATATATCAATGTTAAAGTTCTTGGCTTAAATTAAATGTGAATGGTGCTTTTTCTATATCATATAACATTACAGATTGCGATGGCCTGCTTCAAGACTCCTATAATGAGTTCAAAATTGAGTTTATGCTCAACATGAATGGAGGCAACCCGCTATTTGCTTAACTAAGGGCTTGCAAGTGGGGTTTATAGATGGCATGGGATTGTTAGTGTCAAAAGTTGATCCTTGAGTCCAATTCCCCTTATACCATTGAATTGATTAGTGGTGATGACCTCTCCTACCATCCAAATAGGGAAGTCATCTTTGAGATTCATTCTCTCTTGACTCATGATTGGAATGTGAAAATGCTTCATATTTCATGTGATGCCATTGAGACTACTGATATGCTCATGAAACATGTGCTATTTTGTGCTATTGGGTTTCACCCTATGCTTGCCCTTCCTCCTGATTTAGTTTCTGCATTATATTTGCTATTGCTTAGATGTTTATTTCCCCTGTTAAAAAAAAGTTTTTGAATTAGATTGATAATTTGAAAAAAAAATACAAGATTGAAAGTTATATTCTTCTAAAATTTTTTTATGTAGATGCTTCATATAGGAGAAAGATAGCAGGGTTCACATCAAATTTAAAAGACAATTTGTTCAGTTATAAGTATAAGTAAATGTTATGAGTATTAGCAAAAGTTTGTCTTTTCAAGGAAATTGAAACATATAGGTCAATGGCCATAATTAAGGTTTGATGGTACTTACGTAAAATTATTTTTTTAAAAAAATAAAAATGAA